GACTTTGCCAACCAGGATGATGCTTGGAAGGTCCGCTTGCTGCTTAGAAAGTTGGGTCCTAGTGAACTAGACAAGTATTGCAATCTAATTCTGCCTTTAAACCCACGCGATCGTTCATTCTCCGACACTGTCCAGTCATTGAGCCAACAATTCGGAGACAACTCCTCACTATTCAATGCGCGCTATCGATGTTTGAAGCTCACTATGAACGAAGATGATGATTTTCTCACACATGTGGGTATTGTCAACCGAGAATGTGAACGCTTCCGGTTGAAGTCGCTTACTGAAGATCAATTTAAAGCACTCATTCTCATCTGCAGCCTTCAATCGCGGAAGTTCAGTGACATTAGAACACGTTTGCTAAGTCGATTGGACCAAGACCCAAAACTAACTCTTAATGATATTGCAAATGAATATCAACGTCTAATCAATCTACAGCGTGATACTACAATGGTCCAGCGTGGTGGTTCAAATCGTACCGAAGTTCATGTAGTCCAACAACCACTCAACTTGCATAAATCTGCCCCAGCGACATCTAGTTCAGGTCGACAGACAAAAACAAATCCTCCTGCTCCATGCTGGCACTGCGGTGCATGGCATTTTGTTCGATACTGTCCATATAAGCAACATCGGTGCAGGAAATGTAATGCGGTGGGTCATAAAGATGGTTTTTGTCGAAAAAAGAAGCCGAGCAACTCCAGAGGTACCAGAAAACCTACGCCTAGATCCAACACGAATTCGTTGAGTCTAATAGCAAGCTGTGAGAACTCAACCTCAGTTGAGAGGAAATTTATTACCCTTAATATTAATGGGCACCCTCTTAGATTGCAAATAGACACTGCATCTGATGTAACGATTCTCTCACGAAAATCTTGGATCAGAATGGGAAGACCACGCCTGGTGCCGACAACACAAAAACCGCGAACCGCATGTGGTAATTATCTACGTTTGTTGGGACAACTAGATTGTAAAGTGACTTTTCATGATTCGACGTTTACCGGATTATGTTACATCACACCAGCTGATCTTAATCTACTTGGGTTAGACTGGTTTGATCGGCTACATTTAGCTGACGTTCCGTTAAGCACCGTATGTCATCTGGTGGAACAACCTCATGAACCTGAAGCATATTCGAAAGAATTAATGACGGAGTTTTCAACCATTTTCCAGCCTGTATTGGGTCAGTGCACTTCTATGAAGGCAACACTTCGGTTGAAACCTGGAGCTAAACCTGTCTTCCGTCCGAAGAGACCGGTGCCGTACGCAGCATTATCGAAAGTTGATGAAGAACTTAACCGCCTTCAACTACAGGGAGTTATTACACCTGTTTCTTATTCTGCCTGGGCAGCACCCATTGTGGTTATTAAGAAGGCTAATGGCACAATCCGAATATGCGCAGATTTTTCCACAGGTCTTAACGCAGCTATCGAACAGCATCACTACCCACTGCCAGTCCCTGCAGATTTGTTCACGATGTTAAATGGTGGGAAATTTTTTGCAAAGCTGGATCTCGCTGATGCCTATCTACAAGTGGAAGTGGCTGAAGATTCGAGAGAGTTACTTACCATAAATACTCATCGTGGCTTGTTTCAGTACAACCGCCTACCATTTGGTGTTAAAACAGCTCCATCTATTTTTCAGCAACTAATGGATACTATTCTATCGGGTATCCCGGGGGTCGCAACTTATCTCGATGATATCTTAATTGTTGCCACATCGTTAGAACATCTTAGAGAACGCACGACAGCTGTACTACAACGCATCAGCGATAACGGATTCCGATTACGCCCAGAAAAATGTCAGTTTTTCTTGAAGTCAGTTAAATACTTGGGATTCATCTTTGAGGCTGCAGGTCGCAGACCAGATCCTGAAAACATCCGAGCTATAAAACAGATGCCGACTCCCACTAATATCTCTGAGCTACGATCATTCCTGGGACTAATTAGCTACTACTCAGCTTTTGTTCCGTCGATGCATGACATACGCGCCCCGCTAAATCATCTTCTGAATAAAAATATCAGCTGGAACTGGACAAAAGAATGTGAAGCTGCATTTTGCAAGCTGAAAACGATCATAAGCTCTGAACTATTACTGACGCACTACGATCCGTCAATGCCCATCATTGTCGCTGCAGACGCCTCAGCTTTTGGACTCGGTGCTGTCATTTCACACCAGTTCCCGGACGCAACAGAGAAAGCTATTATGCATGCATCTCGCACATTAACTTCAGCGGAAAGAAAGTACAGTCAAATAGAAAAAGAGGCTCTGGCCCTTGTGTTTGCAGTACGCCGTTTCCACAAATTCTTGTACGGTCGAAGATTCACTCTTCTCACTGATCACAAGCCTCTTCTCACAATTTTCGGTTCGAAATCTGGTGTTCCAGCCCATTCTGCAAACCGTCTCCAACGATAAGCTTTGATACTCCTGGGTTATGATTTTGACATTCAGTATCGGCGCACCCAACAGTTTGGTCAGGCTGACGCCCTGTTGCGGCTTATCAGCGAACACTCCACGGTCGACGAAGATGCAGTTATTGCCTCCCTAATGACAGAGGACTACGCGCATTGTTACCTGACAACCGCTATTCCTGCTTTGCCAGTCTCAACATCTGAAATACAATCTGCATCCAAGAATGATTCCATCATAAAGAGAGCGATGAAATACGTCACCAATGGCTGGCCGCCAAATGGACTCGATGGTGACTTGAAGCAGCTTTACCACCGTCGGGACTCATTATGTATCGTAGATGAATGCTTGATGTTTGGAGATAGAGTAGTGGTGCCAGAGTCCCTAAGATCAAGGGTGCTAAAGCAATTCCACACTGGTCATCCTGGCATAAAACGAATGAAATCCATCGCTAGAAGCTATGCTTATTGGCCCCTCATGGACCAACATATTGTGGATTTAGTAGGCAAGTGCACACAGTGTCAACAAGCAGCCAAGTGTAACGCGAAAATACTGCCGGTCCCATGGCCACAGCCTGAGTATCCCTGGTCCAGGATACATGTCGATTTCGCAGGCCCAATTAATGGAATCACCTATCTAGTCGTTGTTGACGCCTTTTCGAAATGGCCAGAAATCGTTCCCGTCATACCACCAACGACAACTCAAACGATACAACTTTTGACAGAGATGTTCTCTCGCAACGGGTTACCGGATATAATCGTTTCCGATAATGGTTCGCAATTCACCTCAAGTCAATTTCAAGAATTTTGCAAACGCCTATCGATCAAGCATTTCCGCTCTCCACCTTACCACCCACAGTCAAATGGACAAGCAGAAAGATCTGTAGATACATTCAAGAGAGCTCTAATGAAGTCGAAAGGGGAGGGGACGACAGTAGAAACACTGCAGAATTTCTTGTTTGTTTACCGAACAACACCTAGTGATATGCTACCACAGCAGAAGTCCCCGGCAGAGATCCTGATGGGAAGGAAATTGAGGACGATCCACAGTCTCATGTGCCCAAGAACCACACCACCACCATCCCATAACAGATCTCAGAAGCTTTCAGCGTACGAGGTTGGATGCCCAGTGTTCGCTCGAGACTACAGAGCAAATCATGGTCCTTGGATCGAAGCACGTGTGATTAGAAAACTAGGTCAAGTTATGTACGAGGTAAAGGTGGGAAGAGACACGTGGACTAGACACCGAAACCAACTACGTAAGCGGATTGCCCCAGACCACCCATCAAATGGAGTAAATCTTCCCCTCGACATCTTGCTTGATACTTTCAACTTACCTGCAGCCCCATCACAAGAAGCTCAACAGCAAGCTGATCCCCGTCCCAGAAGGTGGCCTCTCCGTCAGCGGCGAACTACAGTCAAAATGCAAGTCGACCCCAGAAAAGCGCGCTATTAAAAAGGGGAGGAGTGTTGGGACGGTATATTCCCAAAATTCATATTTGTAGTTTTATCATATCGATTGACTCATCGATTAAATATTTGGATGGAAGTCACATGATGAACTTCTCGACTAAAAATTCGAATGCCTGTCGAGTGATGAACTGAATGAGTCATGTTTAAAAAAACATTTTAATATGACAATATCGATTTTATATATATATATATATATATATATATATATATATATATATATATATATATATATATATATATATATATATATACGTTTAATTTGTGTCTGAGTGTTCGCTACTGTTCGCTGCTGCTTGCTTGCTTGCTCGCTCGCTCGTTTCTGGTTGTATGCAGAATATATTTTCCATACCAAGCCTGGACTTCTCCTTCTAGTTAGCGGGGCTGGGACGCGTCAATAGTTAGATTACTGGTCTTTGGTCATTGAGTATTGTTCTCGTTCGCAGTCTAAGTGAACCCGTGAAGCTTCAAACCTAACAATTGTCTACACAAGATACTGAATGTTCGTTGACCGGATAACATAAGCAACATTCTACTGTGGGAGAAAACACACCAGGTTTCAGCTGAGGAGGAAATTAAGTCGTTGGAAGTGAATATGAGACACATTTGAGAAATCATCAAACTATATGACGAGTCAAGCGTTAACTAGGAATCCTGAAAGGAAACTGATAAGAGGGAGATCATAGAACACAATGCATCGAGAAATGTAAGCAGACATGAAAAGGATATATAAGAATTGGAAACGATTACTCAGGTCAGGGTTGTATGGAGAGTTCTGTTGAGCGGAATATGCTGCTCCATCAGAGGTAACAGGTGTAATTAATGGAACCATATGATAAATAAAACCCGATTCATCAATCATTAAGTTATCTGTAAATCAAGGAAATATTATGAGTGAGTAGGTTTTTTTTTACTTATCTATTATATCATTATAGATTCCCCTAGAAATTACTCATTTCTGCGATACCGTTTTCATAGTAAATAATCTTTCTTTTTTTATTTATATAACATACTTGTTTAAACAGAATCATTGCCAATCAAATAAACTCCATTCCGGTAACCATCTTATTAACACTAGCAACAATAATATACTACTTAAGTATAGAATAACTGAAATATATACGCACACACTCACACTCACACACGTACATGCACACACACAAACACTCAGATGATTAGAAATGTACTAACACTAATGATTGTTAGTAAGTAATTTACTTATCAAAGTGTTAACTATACACACATATTTACTATTCAAGTATTTTCAGAAGGGGTTTGTGGTTTTTGTTATACAGACATGCTTACTCACATTGAATACACTCAATCTAATTCATGATATCTAATTATATTGATAATGTATATCTATTTCTATATAGATTTATACAATAAATGAATGTTACATACCAATATAGGGTTGATCATCATATGATCATTAGAATCTGATGATTTGTTTGTTATTTTTTTAGAACAAATTTTATGTATATAAATTAAATCACGAATTCTTGAATCATTCTATACATCGTATAACTTCAATTCTTCAGTTCTTCTTCGATTCATTCAATACTTCAATAAAACAATGTCGATAAATCAATTAACTCAAGAACAATGGGATGATCTATTTCATAAATATAAATCATTACGTGAATCTAATAATATTGCATGGGATGATATAAAAAGTGCATTAGAACTTGTTGGTGTCTCTGTAGCTGGTCATGAAATAAGAGATTTATTAGGACAACAAAGAAATTGGCTTAATCCAGATGAATTTCATGAATTATATAAAAAAGCTAAAGATATGAAAGATACAACAAAAGCTATCAGTAAAGCATTATTATTAAAACATGCTGAAGATGTAAAGGTATGTTCTATTCTTTATATATATATATATATATATATATATATATATATATATATATATATATATATATATATATATATATATATATATATATAATATAAAAGAAAGATTGCAATAAGGATATAGTACAGGAAGAAAGAATTAGTTGGTAGAATGAAAGATATGAAGCGATTGTAATCTCTGAGCCATGTCACCAAGAGTCTCCAACCATTGGTTACTATAGTCACACGGATCCCATTCAAGTAGTCTGCATCTACCAACATGGCTCAGACTAGAAGTTAGTGATTTCAAGCACTGGTGCCACGTTTTGGTTTGGCTGCCCCTAACTTTCTTCCAACCATCTCCAACACCGGTTAGCATTGCATAGCTAACGTGTATTTTACCAGTTGACTTACATCGATACCTTGAAAGTGCTCGTTTTTAATATTGAATATATTCCAGATTAGGTTTAAAGAATTGAGAGAAATGTAGTTCTATTCTTGAACATTTCAATAATCCTAACTATTCAACTCACTAAATGATTGACATGATAATCAAGAATGGTCATGATTAATTGACAGTGTTTTGATACAAAAACTTTATCAATGGTGAAACATATCATATAGGTCAATTCATTACAAATAAACTAAGTGATCCATTGTAAACAAATGATAATGAGAATAGAAAGTGAGTGATTCTATTCTTAAGATGTATCTTTTGTAACTATGGTATGAATTAACTTTGATCGTGAATTCATATATTGGTATTGTTTGACATAGAAAATGATTAGTACAGTATAGAATTCTTAACATAAAGTATTTCAACACGTTTCCCATTTTGTTACTTCTTAGTCGATCTTGACGATAACATATTGAAACAATTAGTCCCTTTGATAAATTTCGATCATGTAATGAGAAGACGAAGATTATCAGAACTATGTGCTGATATATTAGTGCAATACATTTCGAACAATCTGATCACACATATACTTGTTAAGGTCAACTAGACTGGAAATGGGGTAAGAGGAGATAAGGATGATGATAAGAGTAATAATAATAATTTGAACACAATTTGAAACCTAATAATATTACCAGGGTAGGTTTAAGGTGAAAACAAACTGTTTTTGAATATACAAAGGGGAGTTGAATTTTCGTATACGCCCTTTTACACTTTTATACAACACCACAAAAACCGAGCTTAGATCAATCTTATGACCTGTTTCAATTATATGTTTAGCAATAGAGGATGATGGATGTTCATCCTCTGCTCTTATTAGGTCACTTGATTGTATTTGTTTCTGCAGCCATTTGGATACATATTCACTCACTCTAATGTTGAGATCACGATTGCTCCTTCCTATTTATGTGTGAGCACACACACATTTAAATTGGGATGTGACACAATCGTTTTCATGTCTTTTAGGTATTGGATGAAGCATGCACCTTATTCTTTCTTTGATAATGAGCTTTGCTGCGCAATAACATATTGATTGATCGCTAGTTAGACGTTAGCATTTCAGTCCATCGACATCTAAATAATGTACACTTATGTTTTGCTGCCTATTTCCAATTATCACGGTATCTCTGACTGTGCTCTTTGATAACTTGTACAACGAAAGGTTGTAAACATTTTCACATACGTATCTGAATAGGTTCTGTGATGAATAGCCGTAATGATATAACTTGTTGAAATATCTAGATAAATAACAAGAATAGGTAGCCCAGATATTCAAGCAATTCTTTTCGCTTCATAATAATATGAAGCGATAAATTTATATGAATATTCTTCTACATTTGAATTCATAATTTAACAGAAATCAAGCACTTAGTGTATAGAAGATCCTATTTGTGTAGATTAGATTTGGAATCATCTCAGCGATTGTAATTGAAATGATGGAATCTAACATCAAAATAACTTAAATTCAAATCGTTAGGATTATTTCAAAATATAAGGGATATATCGTGTTAAAATGAATAATGAATCTATCGTTTAGATCAATAGAAGGTACCATAGACTTCATCTTAATATATCTATATACGTTGTTTTTGGCAGATTGGACTGTGGTGCGTGCTACTTATATTGACATAAGTAGTATATAACGCGAGTTAGGAATATAATGTCTAGCAGCAGAAGATTGGGACTATTACATTGACTAAGTTTAATACATAATTGAAAGTTTCTTTCAATTTGTTTATGTTGATGTTTATGCAGTTTAATTTGTGATCAGTTCAATGAACCATATCAATTAGAATGTTCTATTGTATACTTCATTCAACATCTTCAGTTATTACTACTTGTTAATAGTTCTAAGAAAATTTATTTAATACAATTTTTTATTGCATGGTAAACTTCTTTAATATGATAATGGTCAGTATAAATATTCATGTAGTCTCAGCAACTTAAAATATTCACAATGTAGAATTTATAAACAAACCAATCAAATTTAAAGAAGTAAATCTTGGATTTTGCTGCGAAATTCATTCATTCATTCATTCATTTGGTTAAATAATATTTTGACATTTTAGTTGATGTTCATTCGTAATGAAAACATGAAGTCTAATTTCTAACTTGAACATTCAATGGTAAATCTTAATCTTAATTTCTCATATAACCCTTATACAACTGTATTAACTAGATGAACATTCCAATATCATTTTAACATTACTCTAAGGTTATCTGTGAATGATACTTTGACCTTGTCAACTTTGAGTTATGCAATAAGAAAAAGATTTATGCCAATTATATGAGTAAAAATGTTAATAAACAATTGAGAATTTTATGTTTTATATAACTTTTATACAAATGAAAAGTAGTTGACAAATGAATGAGTGAATGTATAACAAGTCTTGATATAGATATGGGTGTGAACAGGGTAACAAGAAGCCATGACAAACCATTTTACACTAAAATGAAATCAGGATATCGCGAGTAAAACGAGTAGTGTTCCGGTTGTCATGTTTTCTCTCATTCACGTGCTTGTCAGTCAATCACGTAATAGAATAGTTTTCTTCTCTCTACCCCACTTCGTACTAACGCGTACTAGCCTCAAAGTTAGGTCGGTTAGCCTATCGCGCTAAGGTCTTAATCTGGATTAGATAAGTAGCCTCAGCACCAAAAGTGGGTAGACAGTCCAAAAAGGACATAGCAGATATATATATATACCATAAGGAAATTAGGTGTATAATTTGTATATGATAGAATAAATGTATTACATAGTGTTATAATAGAAGATAGTTTTCGAACAAATGGTTCTAATGAACATTTAGAAGGTTCTGGTATATGTTCAATAGAATTCGAGGAACCAATTTAAATAAGTTATGTTTGAATCATCGATAAAGTTATACCTTTCCATATATATATTCAATAAATGTCAACAATAACACATCTAGTATGAGAATAATCATATATTGGCTGAAAGATAATCATTACATTCAATGAAATTTGTACACTATCTTAACTATTTCCATTGTCTCAGACTTTGTTGCTTCTTCATTTTCATATCAATCACTCTCTGTCCTTGTACTCTTCCGTTTGGTTTTCTCAACTTTCTGCTGCCAGGTATCCTACATTCGATTGATGATATATACTACTTATATCTGTCAATATCACCACCACACAAGAACTAAGCCTTTTAAACTAAATGCAGTCGATTTAGACGGAAAACTTCTCTTTCAGTTTCTTTCATCGAACTAAATAATTCTCATCACTGTACTAAAGTAATACTTATAACTGAGTCATAAAGATACATACCTATATATTGTTGCACTATAATTCCAAAGAAATTGTCAACGTTTCTTATCATGAAAACTAATAAAGTGGAGCTGTCATATTGATCTTAAATACTTTAGAACCAGGAAACTTTAAAACAATTATTCAATGTCAGTTTAGGGGTTGTGGAGATCATCAAGCTTTTGAACGAGATCATGAACCGATTGATATTAGACCACCATTGAAAACCTAGAAGCACTGGACTGCCGTTTCGCTCTATTGTGGGACTCCTTGTGAGAAGCCGTGACCAGTGGAGCTAATCCGTGTTGGGTAGAAACAGGTATCTACTTCAGTACAACGGAAGATGGTCACGCAACTTCGTGGATTGTTTAAGGTTAGATATTAAGACCATTGGATGCCGGCTCAGTGGTCCAGTAAGTTGAGCGTTCGCGCGCGAGACTGAAGGCTCTGGGACCGTGGATGCACACTTCTGAGGAGTCTACAATAAGACGAAACGGCCGTCCAGTGCTTCCGGGTTTTCAGTGGTGGTCTAACATCAATCGATTCATGATCTAAATCAAAAAATTATAGAATGAATTAATCCTGGGCAATCGACTTTAATAGAACCTTAAAATTATGTCTTCTATTTGATGAATAAAGAACAGAAAACTGTCTACATTGGGTACAATAATTACTTCCTTACTCCTGTTACCCGCGATTGAGCATAGGCCGTCGACTAGCATTCTCCAACCCACTCATTCTGTCCTGACCCTTCCTTCCTAGTTCTACCCAATCGTTCTTCATCCTTCTCATGTCTGTCTCCATTTCTCGGCGTAATCTGTTGTTCGGTCTTCCACTTCTCTTTTCGCCTTGAGGATTTGATGTGAGGGCCTGCCTTGTGACACAGTCGGGTGTTTTCCTCAATATGTGTCCTATCCACATCCAACACTTCTTCCTGATTTCTTCCTCCACTGGAATCTGACTTAATCTCTCTCACAGTAGGTTGTTTCTGATAATGTCTGACCAACGGATCCGAAGTATTTTGCGTAGACAACTGTTAATAAACACAATAATTAAAATAGTTAATTTACTCATTGATTTTTTTCTATTTATCTTTATTCTTTTAGTCATTTACTGTTGGCAAAAATGATACTGATACTCGACATTCAGTTAGTAAAGCAGAAGAACGAGGTTTTACACTTTGGATCAATAAACGTTTGGGTCATGATGTAGAATTACAAGACGGAATTCTACCAGTTGATCCTTCAGTTGATGGTCAATTGTATCAACGCTGTAAAAATGGAATATTATTGTGTAAACTTGTCAATGTGGCCAGTCCACATACTATTGATGAACGAAGTATAAATAGAGGACCTAGTTTGAAAAATGTTTTCAATGTAAGTATCGTTATTGTTGCTATTGATGTTATAATCATTGTCAATATTATACGATTATTGTACTAGGATAATTATATTTCATTTAATCATGAATATTTGTGAAATTCAGTGCTTACTACACAAATCTAAATCTGAATGAGTCGATCTAAGCTAGATCTCCATTGAAAACCTGAAAGTGTTGGACGGCTATGACTATTGATGTCCGATCTGTGTGAGTTCGAGACAGTTATCCATATCAGACAATGGATGAAGGGTTGCGCATGACCATGAATTGATTAAAGTTACACATTAACACCGTTGGATGCCGGCTAAGTGGTCTAGAGGATAAGCATTTGTACGTGAGACTAACGGTTGCAGTCCCATGTGTGGGATCGTGGATGGGCACTTCTGAAAAGTCCTACACTAGGACGAAACGGCGTTTGTTGCTATGTTGCACGATTTCTTTTCACGTTAACTGAAATTTAGTGATTTTTATTCGTTAGAATCGATTTACAGAGATAACTTACGTTGATTCCATCATTTTCAGCTGATGGGATTTTAATTAATAGTTTAGAATGAAACTTTATTATTTACAATTCCTTGTTTAACCAAAGTTGATTGTTTATATCAGTCAAGTACCATGTTGTGACCCTAAATCTTCTCAATTAAAAAGGTTAAAATTTGATACAATTAAACATTAAGCCAGAACACTCTACTCACATCGTCAGATTGTTTTCAGACTAAAACTTTCTCTATAAGTCCCCAATGAATGAACGTAGTTGCTTGGGGAATAACTGTAACATTTTCTTTCAAAATTTCATGACTGTTACTTCCATGTAAGTGAGGTATTCTTTGGAATTTAAAGTCTAGTGATTGAAGTCGCTTGACGATCACATTGCTACTTGATTGATAAAGTTAAGTCAGTATTAAGGATTAAATATTTGACAGACATTGATTCATGAATTTTTATAAAAATTCGCTTCGCTTCTCAAAAATTATGAAACAAACGTCTGTATATGGTAGAACAATGGCTAAGTGATGAATGGGTCCGGCTGCCAATCATGAGCTGTCTTGTTCGAGTCCCAAGTTACCTGTTTCAATTTGGTTAGCTAGATAGAATCATTAGCCTTTATACAAAATGTGCCTCTATACTGAGTATACACAACTTTACTAATTGAGTTTCATCGTTTTTATAAACTCGATTGTATCTGTAACACCATTCCTATGGACAAATTTATGATCCAGGAACAAAGAGATTAGTCTAATGAGCTGAAATTGTTTATTATATCTGATCAGATAGTTTGTAATCAGAACATATTGACGTGAATATTTCATACAATTCATTAAACCCAATGTTTAATCAAAGTGTTATCGAAACAAACTACATTTATTCATCCACTATCATTTACATAATTCAATAAATACTGTCAAGGTCCCTTTTTTAAACAATGAATGATCTGTTTAGTTCAGTTTATCAGTAACAAGTCATAGTTTGTTAGTGTTGTTTTTTAATCAGATATGAATGTGAACGAGTATGATTGATCTATGAATTAATGACTTTCATTTTAGTTAAGCTGATTGATTCAGCTGATATATTCGATTAACATTCAATGTTACAAACATATATCTATGTCAATACTTTACCCGGATAGTTTATTTTGATTGAAAATATAAACGTTTGTTTATTTTAATGTTAGTTAGAATGAATTTTGCTATGAGTATGTCATTACTAATCAATAATAGTTGTTCAGAACAATTAGTATCATTTATAAAGTATGTACAGACGATTTATAGGTTGATTAGATACAATAACTGTGTAACTGACCTAATGTGTGTAGGAAATTTAAAGTCTTTGGACTTGGTTATAGAGAATGATTTTGTGGTTTGATTTATTTGGATAGTAGAGTTTTTGATAAGTTTAAATTGTCGATGAGATATTTCACTCATTGAAGTCAGGTACGGCATCAACCGGGACACTAGGGTGTAAGATAGACAGAAATTGTTTCCTAATATAAGATTCCTACTAAGTTTGTAGTCATGACTTTCTAAGTGATCATGTACAAGATATTCGGTTTTCTCAATAAGTGTTTAACTATTTGATCACTAGATTTGGATCAAATGGTGGTGTGGATTTTTATTTTGAATAAATTTCCAAAATGACATAACGATCATCTTCAGCCAATGATGACAATTGTCTCATTCTTTAGAAGTTAGGATTCCTGTTGATGTTCAAAATCACTGATTCACACAGTTCAAATTCTTGACAGTTTTTGTCTGTATTGAATTTGAATTATTCTGTAGAATTATAAGCTATGTACCTAACATGTTTATTAATGGAGATGTTTAATCATTGTTACTGTAATTTTCCAGTCTCAGAAACATGATTCTATATGTCGTCAGAAGGTATCAATATCAGTCGGTAGATTTCTACGGAATAACACTGACTATTCTGTTTGAGATTAATTTTATGTTAAATAAGATGATCTAGTTTGAACTCTACAGGTAATTATTGTGCTGATTATTCGACCAGCACGCCATTTGAATTGATATATGTCTAATTTTCAAAGCCACATTTGATATTTTCAATGAATGTTGTTGAATGATCAATCAGTGTTCATTTAGAACAGAAATAGCTTAGTGATAATATTTCTGATTGTGATATTGAATGAGACCAGGATGAATCCTACAGCAATAAATGAAACCCTTTTACAGATATCTGACATGTGTAAACTAACAAGAAAATTAATGAAAACTAGACTTCTTACTGACTGTATTCAGTTAGGTATTATGTAATTTAAGAGAAGCCTTCAATAGGTCCCAGTAACTTCATTTTAAATGAACTTCAAATATTATTATTATACCATAAACGTGTTTCAAGAAATTGATTAATCGATTATTTATTTCAGAAGGGGGTTTTTGTAGATATTATGGTAATTTCAATAGTTAAGATTATGAATCAATTAAAGCTAGACCACCATGAAAAACCTGGAAGCACTGGATGGCCGTTTTGTCCTTAAGTAGGATTCTTCAGCAGTGCTCATTCACGTTTTTGCCTCGCGAGATTCGAACCCAGGACCTATCAGTCTCGCGCTTCGACGGTTTTTCATGATGGTCTAGCTTCAACTAACTCATGTTCTGAACTATTGAGATTGTTTATTTTTTCATTTATTAAATAATTATCTTTAAAATAGAGGTTTGTGAATATTATGGTAATTTTTTTGTTACTTCAATTTATGAGTTGATTTAAACTAAATCACCATGGAAAACATAGAAGTACTAGTCAACTGTTTTGTCTTTAGTATGAAACTCTTCAGCAGTGTGCATGGTAGATTATCTATTTGTGTTGGGGACGTTAGATCTCCAGAACTCACTTGTAAAAGGACGTAATTTTGCAATTTTATTTAGAAAATTCGAATTTCTTTGTTTTCGCTCGAAAGACGCTCTTGTCACCTTCATGTCGTATTTCTCAGTTGCGAAATATTTTAAATGCTATTGGTCCGTTGCGTCTTTTAGTATGCTATTTGGTCATTCTCCCCAAGGACGGTTTTGTACTGTATATATATACGTATTGAATTGTGTTTCTTGTTATCGCGCACCGTTTCTGGCTGTTTGCAGAATATACTTCCCCATTCCAAGCTTGAACTTCTCCCTCTAGTTAGTGGGGCTGGAACGCATCAGAATATCTAGCTTACTGATCTATTGGTCACCGAGTCTTGTTTTCTCGTTCGCAGATTAAGTGAACTCGTGATAGCTTCAACCCTAGCAGTTTGATACTCATTCATTTAATCATTCACTGAATAAATAATTCATTTTATTCAAGAATATTTATGTATTAAGTATTATGTACACATTAAACATACACACTTTACTGTCATTTATTCATTTCTATAGAGATATTTTTCTTTTGTTGTGTATCTGTGATGTGTTATGAGTTGATCAATTACAGATTTAGTAAAACATCATATAAAAGTGATTGTTACCAAATATTGGAAGTATGATGAATAATAATGATTATTATTATTACTAGTATTATTATTATTATTATTATTATTGATTAGTTGGTTAAATTAGTATTCATATCATACTTATGATGACAATTACTGTGACAAATTACTGTTACTCTTATAGTGATACAAGTGAAAGAGAACACGTACAATACAGATACATATGACATAGTTACACTTATGTAAATCAATAACTCCAAGAATGTATCTTATGTGTATATATGTGTATAGGTATATGTAAATGACTTGTCAACAGTAATATGAAAATACACTACACATAACTTAGTTTATATCATAAATGACACTAATATAAATATGACATGAAAATCATGATAAAATTAATGAAATAATTATCATAGTTCATTTATATTATAGAAATACATCAATAAAGAAGATGATAATAGAGAAATGTATGAATGAGAAAAGTCAAGTTATTTTGTATGATTTTTATAATACCATTTAAGTAATCTCATTAAAATAAACTCGTTGCTATGCATAGATATGTGTATTTCATATTTATAGTTTGTGTATCTGTGTAAACATTGTTCCTAATCAATAATAAAAGGTCAATATTAAAGAATTTCATAATAAATAACATAAAGTAATCAAAATGAAATAATCTTAAAATCTTTACATTACATTGAATGTTAAATGACAGTGTTTATATGTGTAGAGATAGAATGAATTGTCCGGTAACAACACAAATCATCCATTATTCTTTCCCGGGCTTTTGAGAAAAGACTTTGCTGTATTGCGGAGAGTGCTGAAAGCAGTTACCAAGGTGTGTGGCAAATCTTTCAAGATCATAATTAATATGGTTGTGGATAAACATCTAAAGTCATGCAAACTCCTGGCAGGTGTTATTTTATCAGATACAAACCATCCCTTTCACTATTATCTTTCTCCTTGTATATCTTATGGTAGAACGAGATGTAATAACATTAAAATCCATGCACACAAGCAAAAGTATAAAAGTTCTATAATACCTTACCTACCAAATATACTCTATGATGAACAGGTTGTTAGAGTTAACCTAATCAATAACCTGCATTCTTAAACATGTTTCTAACTTGAAAAATTGCACAGTTTTTCAGATTGTTTTTAAACATTTTCTTCCCTTTTTTGTCTTTGTTTCTGGGTTTTTTGTGTGCAGGAAACTTGTTGAAATACCCTGTGCTGAGAATTCTATATTGTACCAAAATTATAATATTGAATAAAGCCATTAATAATAATAATAATTATTAGATAAGATAATTTGATAAGTAAATACAACAAAGTAGATAATATTTTCATAACATTGATGTATAACATATTAGAGCTATTGAAATGAGTTTTTATTTAGAAGTGAAAGACAGAATATTATATTATGAATTATAGATAATATAATGAGTAAAGATGAATAGTGGCTAGTAGTGGAATCCAATAACCGCGTTTTGTCCTATCAGGACTAAGTAGATAAAACGATAGCATCTGAAGCGAACGATATTGGGTTTGAGTCCTGGAAGGAACATCTACTATAGGATGTAGGTACATCCAGTTGATGAGTCCCGAATAACACAAAACGTGAGTCAAACTCCATTCCACTACTAGCCACTAGCCATCTTTCCTTATAATGCTTGTAAATTAAGGTAATATCGAGACAATACGCAGAGGATGCACATATGCCAATAAGTGATTAATCATTTTCAGCCCTTAAACATCAATTGGAATATTCAAGTAACCAACACCAAATGACTTGGCTAGCTTGTTTAACTTAATAAGAAATAACTTATAGTCTGAAGGATACACCTAATGTTTAATTATAAAATGAGGAGAGCTTATCAAAAACGTTTCCTTGAACTAATAAGCGTGACCAGTAAAGCTAATACGTGTCAGGTAGAGATAGGTATCTACCTAAGTAAAATGGAAGATGGTCACGCGATTTCGTGAATTGGTTGAGGTTAAACATCAACACGGTTGGACGCGTTCACGCGCAAGACCGAAGGCTCATGGTTCGAATCCCGTGGGGTGGTATCGTGGATGCGCGTTGTCATTTGCTGCTTCCAGGTTTTCAATGGTGATCTAACATCAAACCGGTTCATGATCCCAATCAAAAACATAATAATCTTCACAACCCCATACTCATATGTTTTCAAAATTTCAACATTAACTTATCATATTGTGTGAATGTATTCTTCATTCAACTTCATGATGTCAATTTCACTTTCTGTATCAGTATGTATGCATAACTCAAGAAGTGGGATCAAGTTCACATATTAGATCATTCTAATCTGTTAGTGGATTATACGGATAAATAATGAATTTCATAAGAAAATAATCAACATCATACATTATCATCATTTGTTCTTTTTATCTTTATTTTGACTATTAGGTTCATGAAAATCTTACACTGGCTGTTAATTCAGCTGCGTCTATTGGATGTTGTGTAGTAAATACTGGTCCAGAGGATATTATGCAAGGTAAACGACACATTGTTCTAGGATTAATTTGGCAATTAATTCGTCGTGGATTAATCGATACAATTACATTAAACAGACATAAAGAATTAATAGCTTTATTACATGATGGAGAAACTGCTGAAGATTTATCTACATTAAAACCAGAAGAATTATTAATGCGTTGGGTTAATTATCATTTACATCGAGCTGGTTGTGATAGACGTATAACAAATTTCAATTCTGATTTAGCTGATTCAGTTGTATATGCTCATTTAATGGAACAAATAGTACCAATAGATAAACGTTGTAAATTAATGTCTGCTAGTGAAATTTTAAGTTCAACTAGTCGTCAAGAAAGAGCAATGAATGTATTGAATAATAATGAAACATTGGGTACACCATTTACACTTTCACCAGAAGATATTTATTTAGCTGGAGAAAAGAATAATGATAATCGTGATCGTTTAAATTTAGCATTTCTTGCTACATTATTCAATATGTATCCAGCTTTAGATGCACGTCGTGATGATTTTATAGTAGAAGGTGAAACATTAGAAGAAAGAACTTATAGAAATTGGATTAATTCACTTGGTGTTAAACCATATGTAACCCATTTATATACTGATCTTAGTAATGGATTAGTATTATTACAATTATTTGAGAAAATTAAACCTGGTTCAGTGGATTGGTCATTAGTGGATCAAGATTTTGATCCAAAACGTCGTTTATTTCAAGAAACAGGCAATTGTAATTTAGTTATTGATTCAGCTCAATCAATGAATATACGTTTTGTTAATGTCAGTGGTAAAGATATACAAAAACGTGATCGTAAATTAGTGTTGGGCGTGTGTTTCACATTGATGCAAGCGTATATATTTAAATTACTTCATGAAGTAAGTTTTATCATTCATTTATATGTTGACTTTATTATTTAATGACTTACAATGATATTGAGATTGTATTTCTTCAAATCTACTCCTATACTAGGTGAAATGAACAGTCTAGGTAACCTGTGGTTGAGTTTACGCAGTACATTTCTTAACCCTCTCAGTGGATGAAGATTTATAATTCACTTTGTATCTTTTGTCTAAATTCAACGTCCCTTACTTTACCGTTACACGTAGTTTATACTATTATAAACCATAGTTTACACTCATACAGTAAGTTTCAATTCAGTAAAATATTAAGAATGAAACCAACTTAATCCTAGAGAATTACCATCTATATATATTTCATTAATCGATAGTCTTACTAATATATATTTATCCAACTAACTAATCAGTCAGCCAGTTACAACGTAGGATAAGGCACATATATCCATCGGTCCAGGTTGTTAAACATCATCAGTATAATAAGATGAACACCAAACTCATAGAAGTAATCACTTCAATGGTAGTAATGTATAAAAGAAACATTGTGTATGAGGATATAATATAGGAAGAAAGAATAAGTTAGTAAAAAGAAAGGCAGAAATCAATTTCAATCTCACGGTTCAAAGGAAGACAAAGCGTGTATATACCTACTCCAATGTGATCGATTTTGAGCCATGTCACCAAGAGTCTAAAACCATTGTTTACGATAGTTACACGGACCCCAAACAAGTAGTCTGCATCTACCAACATGGCTCAGACTAGAAGTAAGTAACTTCAAAGGCTGATGCCATGTTTCGGTTTGGCTGCCCCCAACTTTCTTCCAACTATCCTCAACACTACTCAGCATTGGGTGTCGTGGTAATCGGTGTTCAGGCATACGTTACATGTGGCCCAACCATCTCAGTCGATGAAGATTCACAACCTCATCAACTGATTTACCATTATTCCCTAATACCCTGCGTCTAACCTCACTATTACATACCCGGTGACAATAAAGATTACATGGTCAAATAACAAGTTTTGTGAATTTTCATAGAAACTTCAACGAACAGTTTGGCTTCAAGTGTGTTAGAGACATAAAAAAAGGTAATTTTATGTATAATTCTGAACTATTTAAACTAAATTATTCTAACTCTTCATTGAAAGATCCAACCATCAGTAGGTAAGCAATCAACACTACATAAGAAAATTAAGATAGTTTCCAATAATCTAAAACTGACATTTAGTCGTAGCTTTAGTAATCTCACAGTTAAACAAGATCAAACACGATTCTTCACTATTCAGTTATATATTCATGTTCATATATTGATTCTGTTGATAGTATCAATATAACCCATTTGATATGAAATAAAATCACAATATGAAGTACAATACTGTGTACGTTAATCATTATTGAACTTTAATGATTAGAATTAATGTGTTTCACACATACTATAAGGCAAATGTATTGAAAAATGATCAATTATAGTACGTCCCAGAAACTATTATCGATTATTTAATCTAATCTATTTAAGTCAACATGTTTACTCCATAGCATTATGGTGTCAAATCATTAGTTTATCAAGAAGATTGACCACCATCAACCGTATGTTGGTAATAAGAATTGGCATATTGTTTAAACTCATAAATTTAAAAAATATCTAGTTTACAAGTTTACTCATGCTTTTACAAAGAACAAATAGATGATAACTCTGCCAAAAAAATTTGCTACATAGAATTAATCGTTCTATTCATATAGTATTATTCATTTGAATGTTCCCATTAATGTTTTAGGGCTGGAAATGATCAATCTCGTATTGGCATATGTGTATACAGTTTGTGTATTGCTTCGATATTGGTTTAAGTCATAAGCACTCTAGAACTCGAACCCAGTGCTGTTCACTTCAAACGCAATCGCGTTATCCATTTAGCTACTGAGTCATGATAGTTACTTGCTTGTGCAATGGGGTAAAGTTTAAAGTCAATTAGTTTTGTTTACTTGAATCTTCTTATTGATGTGGCTATCAAAACTCAGTAGCTAAGTGGATAATACGATGGCGTTTAAAGCGAATGGTACAGGGTTCGTGTCCCAGAGTGAACATTAACTCTGAAATGCAGGTACATCCAGCTCATGAATCCCAAATTGGACGAAACGTGAGTCAAACTGGATTCCACTACTAGCCACAATCCATATTTGCTTAAGCTGAATTATATTTATCAATGTCCGTACTAAAAACATGAATCCTTTGAAAATTATGTAAACAGAATGATGAAAAAATGTCTGCTGGAAGTTTGGATAAACAATGTGGTTATGAGATGGAAAGATGATAAATGATATATGAAATATATTTCAGGGCATACTGAAGATTTCATTTAACTTCAAAGTATGTAATGATGGTAGCACTAAATTCAGACGTAAATGACACACACGCGAGTGAGATCGTGGTTGCGCACTGCTGAAGAGTCCCACAGTAGGAAGAAACGACCTTCCACTGCTTCCAGGTTTTTAATAGTGGTCTAGTATCAATCTCAATAAAAAAACTTAATAATCTCCACACACACTAAATCAATAACAGAGAAATTCACGTACTTCAGAGATTTTTTTCATATATGAACTTAATTAATGTAAATAGACTTAATGGAATTCATTTAGTTATTGATCGATAAATTCCTTGTTCGTTTCTATCTCAAACATGACCATAATTAATGATGATAACTATTGTTACTGGTTATGTACCTTGACAATTATTTGTCTTCTAGTGTCATTTAGTTTTATATAATAACCATTATAAATAACTCAGACTATAACTTAGGCCTTGTTCATATGGTATTTGAAGTTCATCTAAATATCCATTATATTTATATGTATAGTGTCACATAATTTAATTTGGACAGTGTGTGCTACTGTCGATAGATATAAGTAATATGTATCATCAATCAAAAGTGAAATATCTGGCGGTAGAAGGTTAGAAAATCGAAGAGATGAGAACAAGAACAATGAATGATTGATGTGGAAATGAAGGAACAGTGAAGTCTGAGATGATTGATTACTGTATGGCTCACAGACTTTAACAAAGCATTCTGTAATTTTATGTTTAAATACATTCAACTGTCCCCACTTGTGTTCTTGTTTACTACAATAGTACACACTGAGTTACTACTTCACTATCGTATTAGGAAACCTAACAACATACAAATAGGACTTGAAAATCGTTTGGTAAATATTTGTTTTTTGGTCCTATGTTTGATTGCCAAATAAATAATTACAGCTTCAACAGACTCATGATTTCAATCTGTGAAATTTCTAAAATCTCCACAAACCCCTTCTGATAATAATCATCTGCTCACTAGCGACTGACTTCAAGAGATACTCCTAGAGTTCTAGTGAGAAGCCGTTACCAGTGGAGTTCAACCAGGTCTGTTGTGAGATATCAGCTCACTGAAGACAATGGTATACGGCAGTGCAACTTTGTGGATTGTTTGAAGTTAGACATTAACATCATTAGATGCCGGCTCAGTAGTCTAGTTGGTTGGGCGCTTGTCGCAAGACTGGTAGAACCTGGGTTCGAAACTCGCGGGGTGCGGGGTCGTGGATGCTCACTGTTGAGGAGTCCCATGTTAGGACGAAACGCCCGTCCAGTGCCTCCAGGTTTTCCATGGTGGTCTAGCTTGAATTGACTCATGATTCCAATCTGTGAAATTACAGTTTACTTAGGTGAATAATGTGTTATTTAATAAATAAACTTATGGAACCCATGTAAATTCAAAGCCTACGTTTAAATGTGTTGATATGTAGATTATGTAGTGAATTTATGTGACTCATATCAACAAATACCGTGTATATAAATTGGTCATATATTGTGTTTATAATAATTCATGTCTTTGAACACAAGCTAATAAGTGATCAAGAAATATGGATAAACACCTTCTGGAGAATACACGAATGCTATGGTTAGCTTTCATGGTACAATAATATAACTCCATTTAGATCACCCTGGTTGGCAGCGTATGACGTCACTGACACGCAGCTATGCATATCGATCATTGATGGATAAGGACATTTTGTGTGTCTCAAAAAAATGTACAAGATGTGAACAAGCCAAAAACCTCCCACCGAAATTACAGTCATCTCCATGGCCAAGTGTAGAAAAGCCATAGTCCCGTGTTAACGTTGATTTTGATGGGCTAATAAACGGTCAAAACTTTCTTATTATCAACAACTGAATTACAAAATGACCAGAAATTTATTTAATGCCTCCCACCTTATTGACCTTATCAATGACAGTGCTGAATAGACCTTTCGGGCAGTTTAATTTTCCATTATCAGTAGTTACAGACAAGAGATCTTACTTCATATTAGAAATCCTCTCAAACTTCTGTTTAAAGAACGCGATTACACGCATTCTGTCATCGCCCTACCATCCCAGTCAAAAGGCCAAGCTGAGCGTTGCGTCAATACCTTCAAGCGAGCTCTCATCAAGTCACAAGGGGAGGGCACAACGGAGGAGGTCATCCAGAATTTCTTGAAGGCACACAGAACAACCTCGAATTCCGCCTCACTTAATGGTGCTTCCTCTGCTGAATCAATGTTCGGAAGGAAGGTTCAGACTTCATCGGATAGAGTGTATTCATGGAGAATAAGATGGGACTACAAGCCCAATTGGCAGAGATTTAATGGCAGGTTCCTAATGAGTTACCAGTATTTGTAAGAAACTAACCACATTGGGGATCAACACGGGTAGCAGACGTTATCATAAGAAGAATAGGTGAAATAATGTACGAATTTGATGTTTGAGGTAAGCGCCTGACGCGACATGAAAATGGCATTCTTGGCAGACGATTAAATTTAAAAAAGGACCTCCTAGCTCAACTCTGCAACTAGATTATTTGATCGATACAGACATTTAGAAGCATCAGGATCAGCGTAGAAGATGTAATGACCAGACCCGGCGAAAATCATCAGCACTTTCAGTTAAATCCAGTTAGCGGGACTTATTTTTCAGAATGGAAAGATGATATGGAGAGTCAACTAGAAGTAGCCTAATGAGAAGGTCAATCGATAACAATCACAACTGACCCAGAGGTCAAGTGCATTTCCTTGAGGTTAAAATGGGTCAATTTCTCAAGGATAGACTAGTATATATATATATATATATATATATATATATATATATATATATATATATATATATATATATATATATATATATATATATATATATATATATATATATATATATATATATATGAATAATTATTTGTGAATTTCACTCAGTAGTTTGATACACTTTTTCTCTCACTCTTGTGCTTTCTTTGAAGTAGTCAATTGTGGGGGTTATTGCGTAGCATATCATGCATCAGTATCAGATTTTGGGATACTGCACACCACAGTAAAATAACCATTTAAAACTCATTTTATTCAATAAGTTTTATAAGTAGATAAATTAATTTATATTTCACTGATTGAAATCATAAGTCGATTGAAGCTAGACCATCATGGAAAACCATGGAAAATTGCACGGCCGTTTCGTCCTGGTATGGGACTCCTCAGCGGCGCTCATCCACGATCCCGTACTTGCGAGATTCGAAACCAGGACCTATCAGTCTCTAAAATCTCCACAAAACCCCTTCTGATAATTCATATTTATTTATTTATTTTAGGTTACTCCAGGTGGTATCGATATTCCACATGATGATCGTGATATATTAACATGGGTGAATGGACAAATGAATGAAGCTAAAGCTAAACCAATTCATAGTTTTAGAGATCCAGCATTAGCTACTGGTATACCTATATTACAATTATTAGAACATATTAAACCGAATTCAACAAATAAAGAAATATGGTTAGGTAATAATGTGGATGATGCATCTATACGTCAATATGCTATATCATGTTGTCATAAAGCTGGTGCTCGTGTATTTACATTACCGGAACATCTTGAAGAATTAAATGGTAAAATGATTTTAACATTATTTGCTTCATTACAATTATTATATTATAATTTAAAACAAAAAGCTGAAAATAAACATAATCGTACTAAAAATACAGAATTAAAATGGTTAAAATTAAATGACGACAATAAAATTAATGGAACTGAATAAGAACAAGACAACAACAACAACAACAAAGAAAACTATTCATCATTGATCTTCAATGACTATTAGTTTCTTTTCTTTTTTTTTCTTTTTTCTTTTTTTTAAACATTCACATGGATATTGTAATTCATATTGATTTTGAAAAAGAAGAAGAAGAGGGGGAAAAAATCAGTCTCTTTGTTGCTAAGGCTTAAATGAATCAAATTGTTTATAGAAGAAAAAATTGTTTTTCTTTTCATTTTTCTCTAAAAAAAATAGAAAAAAACTGAATTGATTTTTTATGGAATGTTCATTTTAGTCAAGAAATACTTTTTTTTTCTTTTTTTGGTTTTGGTTACTTAGAGAATTTGTTTAATTGGATGTATCCCATTGTTTAGTAAATGAAACCAATTGAGTTAAATCACTTACTTGTTTGATATGTAACCTTCTTTTGTTTCATTTTTTTTTGTATTCTCTCCAAAAACTTAAACTTCATTTGAATTGTTTTGATAAACTAATTAATCAAATAAATTATATATTTTCATTAAGCAAATGATTCTATGTTTTAAGTATAGGAGCTGTGGAAACTGAGATCATGAATCGATTGATATGAGACCACCATTGGAAACCTAGAACCACTGAACGGTCGTTTCGTCATATTGTGGGACTCTTTAGTAGTGCTCATCCACAATCCTGCTCGCGGGATTCGAAACCAGAGCCTTCAGTCTGGCGCGCGAATGCTTGACCTACTGGACCACTGAGCCGGCGTCCAATGGTGTTTCATGCAGTTAATTCCCTTTGTGAATTTAAATAAACCCAGAACAAATATTGATGCAGAATAACATGAATTCATTATATTTCGTGGTAACTCATCAGCTGATTATAACCACTGATATGTATTACAACTTTACATAGAGATAAAAAATAGTTTGGAACAATTGACATATGTGAATGTAAAAGACTGGAATGACTAAAGGTTATCAATGATAACGATATATATATATATATATATATATATATATATATATATATATATATATATATATATATATATATATATATATATATATATGCAAGAGCAGGTCTGGGGTGTTAGAATCGAGGAAACATTAAGGACGAGTGGTGAAATAGTGGAGTTCAGAGACAAATAAGGTAAATTATGTGATAATTATAGAGGTAATAAAGGAGTTATGGAGTTAACAAATTGATAAGATGGGTTACGTAATAAATGAATAGAATTTGAAAAGTTCACAGAATTTAAGTGAATCAAGTGAGCGGAAATTTGTGAGTGAATGGGTGATTTAAGAATTCGGTAATGGGAGAGGAATAACAACTAATAACGAAAAAACAACAAACACACACACACGAAAATGGGATTACCAGGGTAGTAATAAGTTTATAACTGTCTCTTTTTGAATTTATACACTCGATAGAATTGGGCCATACAATTGATTTCGATGGCGCAAGAATCATTCAAAAAGGCTTTAATTCTTACAAAGAACGACTAACAGCCGAAGCCCTACATTTATGGGCTAATTCATACAGTATTAATAGGAGAGATACAATACAACTAGCTGTCCCATGGCAACTAATAGGTAATAAATAAACCTGATCTCCTTATTCCAGTTTGATATATCTATATCATAGTAACGAATGTATAGTTTATGCGTTCAACGATTCAAATCAGTTATCTTATCTGAATATGTTAAACAATTGACGAGAACATTAAAATAACACAAACTTTCCATTACAAATACATTCCTCTCTTTGAATTCAGTCTTTTATCTTGTTTACTGATCTTGTTTATTTATTTTCATTTAATGCATGCTGTGATATTTTCAATTCATTTCATATGAAAAATGATATGGTTTCTTAATAGACAAAGACCGAAGACAATCTATAGTGGAATGAAATTTCTTCTCACATCACTTACGTATACACATAATCTGTTACCTTAACACTTCGTTTCACACCAGATATCTCTTACACACTAATGTAAATATATACTTTAGACACTGTTCACGTGGATTGGATGACTTATTCAGTATACAGTAAACCAGAGAACCATGTAAATATTTATACTCGATAATTTTGTTGTTTGATTATATTTTCCTTGAAAAAGCTTGGACCAGATTGCCAGGCGAAACGTTGGATTTACTTCAAATTCTTTCGCTGAGATTTTACAAATATATATTCTTCCTTCTTAGTGTCATCCATAGATTCGATCTGTTTTTTTTATCGCGATCACTTCAGCAAAATGGATAGCAGCCGTACTTCTTTGTCTGCTAATAATTTTAAAAGCCTGAAATATATTAATGGTATGCTCGGTGTCAAGTAAATGCCGAGCTATTGTACTATTGAGAGCCCTAGTCCATAGCAGCCTCAATGTCTTTGAAACATGTTCAGAAGTGTGAACATGTACCCATTTCTCGGCTCTTCCAATGTGCAAACCACGAAATATAATGAATTAATATTATTTTGCATCAATATTTGTTCCCGTTTTATTCAAATTATTATGATTCCTAATGTAGTTTTTGAACGTATTCTATTGGTGATACATAGTAGTTATATCTGATGACATTAGCCTCCAAATGCTTTGGTACGGCCAAGGGTGGGGAAATCCAGCTCTCCCTCAATTATTCCTCTCACATGGACACGGCTATACACCCACTGCCAACGAAGTCCTAATCACTGCCTTCCCATATCACCGGTGTTGATTGCGAAATTGAGAGGATGAAAAAAGAATGTTTGGCGCATTAGATGGGTTGATGGATATTGAAGTACACAACTAGGAGAGTTGGAAAATTCGGATTCCAAACAAATGGTGCACATGAGCTTCACCATCCTGAGTGAACAAATAGCGTACAAACCAATCGTTGAACAACGGTTACCATGAGACTGAATCTCCCAACATTGCTTCACTGCCTTGTGAATCAGACCTTCAGGTCGAAAGATCCGTGTGTGGTCCACTAAAAAACCCACCTGCTTCGGTCTGGGCATACAGTTAATCTCAATATGACAGCCCACACACAAATCAAGTGACTTGTGTTGCGCATATGTATTTGGTTTCCCTTTGTACCAATATTTATGTGTTCAAATACATAAATAAGTAGCACAATTTTAACGTCCGATAGATCGGGCAGTGTTACTGACGGGCTCAACACCTTGTGGCCCCTGTATTTGACTCCAGTTTGATGATCTATAATTGCTATTGATATATACATATCGCCAATCCTCGTCTATAATCATCGACTTAATCCGCTTTGGTGAATAACGGAATTAAATAAGCGAACTACCAGAATTAATTTTGAATATGTATATTTTATATACTGATTACTGATTTGAACAGACAATCAAGTAGACGAGCCACAGAGGGAAGAGCGAAGCAGATTAGAGAAAGCAAGTGAGCCGACTCTATTTAACCAAGCGTGAGTTGATACATACATACTGCCAGACGAAAATAAGTTAAAGACATGTGATGAATAGGATAAAAAGTGTATACACATATACGCTCATATAAAAACAGTCATGGTCTGTAAGCGAATAATTAACATGGTCAAAATGTAGATTGAGAAGAATGTATAAATTGGCTTGTCGAGATGGTAGAATAAGTTATATGGGTTTAACATACTAATCGACATTAGACACACCACAGTAGTCGTTATTATTATTATTATTATTATTATTCTGTATGAGAAAAAGGATTCTACCAAAATAGATTACTGATCTGAACATTGCAAAGCATTGGAATAACTTGGAAATAACACATGACTGATTAAATTTGTGATTGAAATATTTAAATATCAAATTTAATCTAGATATATTAACAGGATGATTACAGCCAGTTCTTTTGTATAAACCTGTGAATCACAAGAATGACAGTATGTCATATTTATGATACTGTTTGTCTCACGTATCTAGATACTTTTCAATATCATGGATACAATGAATTCTTAATCGATATTACCTATTTTTAAATTGTTCTGTTCCCATACGAATTCATAATAGTATCTGAAATCACTTCATTCATGCTTTTCATAGCTTCATGGAATGATCTCAATTTGTGTATGTAAAATGTGAATGTGCTTAGTTATTCTAGATATCTTCACTTTCTATGATCTTACAGAGATATGGATTGATTAAAAGTCAGAATATTATACATATACTGTTATTCTATTGTTATGTTAGTTTCTTTTGAAGTTTCTAAACTTTACTTAGTTTTGAAAATAAGTTGTAATCTATATTCAAATGTAGGTGAATTTACTTTTGAAACAGTCTGATTTGAATGGCCGTCCAATAATAATAATTAAGGATAAACATAATCAAATTATCTGAGTAAATAAGATAATAATTTAATAATTGAATTCATGAGTTAATTGAAGCTAGACCACCATAGAAAACCTGGGTCAATTCAAGCTAGACAGGTTGAAGTTAAATATTAACACCATCGGATGTTGGCTCAGTGGTCTAGAGGTTAAGTGTTTGCGCCCGAAACTGATAGGTCGTCAGTCAGTCAGTCAGCTACAGCGTAGGACCAGGCACATATATATTTGCATCGGTTCAAGTTGCCATACCTCATTAACACAACAAGATGGACACCGGATTCATAAAAGTAGTTAATTCAGAGGTGGTAATATATAAAAGAAAGATTGCAATATGGATATAGTACAGGAAGAAAGAATTAGTTCGTAGGAAGAAAAATATGAAGTGATTTTAATCTCTTAGTTTAAGGGAAGACAGAGCATGTGTACACCGACGCCATTGTGATCGATTCTGAGTCATGTCACTAAGAGTCTCCAACCATTGGTTACTATAGTCACGAGGACCCCAACCAAGTAGTCTGCATCTCCCAACATGACTCAGAATAGAAGTTAGTGACTTCAAGCAGTGATGCCACGTTTTGGTTTGGCCGCCCCTAACTTTCTTCCAACCATCTCCAACACCGGTTAGCATTGCGTGTCGTAGTAATCGGTGTTCAGGCATACGTAACACGTGGCCCAACCATCTCAGTCGATGAAGATTAACAATCTCATCAACTGATTTACCATCATTCCCTAATACCTTGGGTCTAACCTCACTATTACTTACCCGGTGTTCCCAGCAGACGCCAGCAATATTTCTAAGGCATCTGTGGTCAAATACTAGTAGCTTACAGGTGTCTTCAACTCTTAATGACCATGTTTCGCTACCGTAAATTAAAACAGAACGGACTGCCGCGCAGTATACCGATATGTCGTGTGTTCGAATATCGTGGGGTGAGATCGGCGATATGCACTGCTGAAGTGTCCCATACTAGGATATAAAGGCCATCCAGTGATTAAGAAAATCACCAATCTTGGATAAAAAATAAATGAAATGTTCAATATTCTTTGTTATTGTTGTTTTTATTTCAGAAACTATATTATTCTATGATAAATACAGTCTTTAAGATTCAATAGCTTAGTTACAACTTATATATTCTATCTGTCAACTATGTTAAAATCAGTTATGAATAATTGAGATACTATTTTTCTGAATAAATATGAATACCACGTTTTATAGAAACAAAATGTACTTTCCAAATATTTTCTTTGATGTTATTTATTAAATAACAGTAGTAATAAGAATGTAATCGGTATTATCTACTTCTAGGGTTTAGAAATTAAAATTTATTTGGCAGAAAATTTGATTTTGAAAACTTTCTAGATCAATGTTTAGATTATTATTAATAAGTAAATAAGTTCAACAAATATATAAGTGTATTTTCTGTATTTCACAAAATTATAATAATCAGAGAGGGGGGTGCATATCTATGATCCAGCCCCGCGAGATTCGAACTCTGGACCTATCAGTCTTGCGCACGAACGCTTAAACTCTAGACCACCGTGTCAGTATTGAATGGTGTTAATGTATAACTTCAACCAATCCACGGAATCGTGCCACTGTCCAGTATCTCGTGGGGCGGGATCATGGATGTGCACTGCTGAGGAGTCAGATACTAGAAAGAAAAGGCTGTTCGTTGTTTCCAGATTTTCCATGGTGATCTAGCTACAATTGACTCATGAATTCAAGCATTAAAATTGTTAAAATCTCTATTCATCATCAAAGATTATTTTATTCATATCAAAGAGGTATGGAAGTATGTTATTTATTTAGATTTTCTGAAGTAGTGTTTCTTGTTGACAGGTCTATAGGGATTATTATTTTTATTATTCTGTATAGGAAGACAGATATTTGACGCTCTATTTTAACAAAACGGTAGACAAGTCATCAGCTGAAAAGCATTTAGCAGCTCGTAGATCTGACTCCATTTAGATCGGAATTATGATTTTTGTTGAATTATATATGTCGCCTGTTCTCGTATTCAATCATCGACATTAATCGCTTTAGTCAATAACGGAATTTAGATAAGTCAATTAACGAGAATGGACTTTCGTATACATATATTTTGTATGTAAAGTGAAGGTAATAGAACAAAGCAAAATGACGCGCAGGTGAGATGGCTGGTAAGCCAACTCATTTTTAGCCAGGCATTACTCAATATTTGTAGGTAGACAAAATAAACTACAGACATGTGATGAGACATGGAATATGAAGTGTACACACATATACGCTCATATAAAAACAGTCAAGACTGATAAGCGAATAATTAACAAAGTCAAAATATGACTCAAGTAGAATAAATAGGATGATAAAGTATATGGGCTTGACATAATAACTGACGCTAAAAGTAAACGAATAACTAACAGATTTCATTATTTAGTGTTAATAATCTCAACTGAGTAAAATATTCGCATTTATTTTTTATTTAAAAAATAGATATCTGTCTTTGAAAGGTAGTTACAACTTTAAAAATTAACTGCTGAACTATGATTAGTTATTTATTTGAAGACATAAATATTGGTACAAAGGGAAACCAAATACATATGCGCAACACAAGTCACTTGATTTGTGTGTGGGCTGTCATATTGAGATTAACTGTATGCCCAGACCGAAGCAGGTGGGTTTTTTAGTGGACCACACACGGATCTTTCGACCTGAAGGTCTGATTCACAAGGCAGTGAAGCAATGTTGGGAGATTCAGTCTCATGGTAACCGTTGTTCAACGATTGGTTTGTACGCTATTTGTTCACTCAGGATGGTGAAGCTCATGTGCACCATTTGTTTGGAATCCGAATTTTCCAACTCTCCTAGTTGTGTACTTCAATATCCATCAACCCATCTAATGCGCCAAACATTCTTTTTTCATCCTCTCAATTTCGCAATCAACACCGGTGATATGGGAAGGCAGTGATTAGGACTTCGTTGGCAGTGGGTGTATAGCCGTGTCCATGTGAGAGGAATAATTGAGGGAGAGCTGAATTTCCTCACTCTTGGCCTTACCAGAACATTTAGGGGGAAATGAGTTTGTAGGTATCAACACCAAGGTTTGAATTGATCATTTCGAATAAATTGAGCATTGGGTAGATTTTTTGTATAGTCAATTGCTTCAAATATGTTTATGATCGGTGTTTATACTTTATAAATATTTATATTTAGGTGATGTATTTCACTCCTGTTACATTAGTGATGGCCTGTAAGATACATTGGTTATTACAAAACCACTTTTTAAAAAATTAATATCATAAATCATTCTGTTGGTGATGGATCTGTGAACTATTAAAAAGGTTAGGTTTATTAGTGAAGATCATATATTATATAATATCAACAGATTACTGGAACTAATAGAGGTATATTGTGTTGACAGAATGGTAAATTTCAGACTGACTACGTAATACTGTGAGGATATTACAAATGCACATAGTAAGTGGAAAGGAAAAATATTCGTAATTTTGCACTGGAGGAGTGAACTATTCGTTTCGCTGTCACTAACTATGACATAGGTTCTTTTTGCCTGAATGACTTCAATATTATTTGTTATATATACTCAACTATATATTAATTTGATACTTATATAAATCTTTTTATTCAGTCATCCTCTGAATAGCTAGTTGATCAAAAGTTAGAATATATGTATTGTGACTGACATCAGAATGAAGGTTTTGTAGAGATTGTAATAATTTCAATAGTTGAATTCAATTTAACCTAGATCATCATGGAGAAGTTGAAAGCACTAGACATCCGTTTCACCCTAAACTTTAAGCGTTCGTTCACAAAACTGTTAGGTCCTGGGTTCGAAATCCGTATGCAAGACCAATGGCTCGCACTACTGAGGAGTCCTATACTAAGACGAAACCTCCCCCCTATCTAGTGCTTCCAAATTTTCCATTATGTTTAAGCTTACATCAACTATTATGATTGAATCAAGCTGTACAATATAATGTATATTATATTATTTATTATGAAAACAAGAAAAAAAAATACATAGATTAACAGAAAACAACAAAATATGATATTCATTAGATAAAAGAATTAACAAAATCAACATGGAACTAACCATTTTATAAAAAGTAAAACAAAAAAAGAGAGTAACATTAAAACAAGAGAGAAAAAGTTTTAAAAGAAAAAAAAAGGAAAAGAAAAAGAAAGCTAAACTAATGAATTGATTGTAAATTTCATTGGTTTTTGTTATGGGATTCTATAAAATTAATGGAATTCATACATTATTACTATATATATATTAATAATATAATGTGTAAAGATGATAGAATATTTCAAATGTATTACATATATAATGTATATATTGAAACATTGAATATTTCAGCGCCAATATTGAAATTTGATTGATACATACATATGCTGTCAATTGTTCACATAAACATGTTGATATAAAAAGCGAACTTCCGTTACCATGGCAACATGTGAAAGATTAACTCTATGTATGAATGTTATTATTTTAATACTTTGATTATATTTTAGATAAAAGAGAAAAAAAAGTATCTTTTTTGTTTTATTTTATTGATAGTCTCTTTTTATTAGTTCAACTTAATATTAGTTAGTAATTAGAGAAGAAAAAGGGTGTCAAAAAAAAAGAAAACAAAACAAAATTTCTACTAATTACTATGCAATTTTGATATATTTATATCCACAAATAAAATTTCTTTTAGGTAGGTGGTTTTAATTATCAATAAGGAGATATATGGGTAACTTGATTCTATGAATCTTATAATTATTGATTTTGATTCAATGAAATAGAATGAATAAATTCTGGATCAGCTGCTGATGTTTTTCATTTTAATAAAGATGTGATTGATGATGGTGACGATGATGATGATGATGATGATGATGATGATGATGATGATGATGATGATGATGATGATGATGATGATGATGATGATGATGATGATGATGATGATGATGATGATGATGATGATGATGATGATGATGATGATGATGATGATGATGATGATGATGATGATGATGATGATGATGATGAGGAGGAGGAGGAGGAGGAGGAGGAGGAGGAGGATGAGGAAGAAGAAGAGGAGGAGGAGGAAAATGAAGACGGTGATAATAACGATAAGAATGAGGAGGATAATTGTGAACTATGAAATGCATTATGCATCATTTCAAAATCATTCAATGAATTATTTAAACTAGATCTATGATTATACATTGTATTATTTGTATCATTTGAAGTATGCATCATCATCATCATCATTTCAAATGTATTTTGTAATAAACTATTTGTACTTTTATTATTATTATTATTATTATTATCATTATTATCACTGAGGTTTATACATTTCAATGTTTCATCATCTATATACTTATATATACTGTCATTGAAATATTCTATATTACTTATTTGATGAATAGATGAATCTATTGGTTTATTGAAAGTTTCATTATTATTTAAAATAGATTCTGTGTTAAATAGAAAATTAGTACCATTATGTAATTGATAATTATCATAACTATAATCATTACTATTATTATTATTAACATTACTATTTATAGTTGAAGTAGTATTAGTAGTAATAGTAATATGAGTAGTATTAGTAGTATCAATATGAGTAGTATCATGATTCACAACGTGATTAGTTTGCATAGATATTTTTATATCATTATTATAATCATATGATGATGTAAATGGTATCAATGTTCTTTCATTCATTATAAATGGATTATTTTTGAAATTGATTTCATTCATATAATTCATATTGGATAATTGATCAATTGAATCATTGAATGGATCATTATCTATTTCGATTTTATTGAAAAATGAATTTATATCATCAATATCATCAATGTTATCATCTAAAAAAACGGCAAAATTTGAAAATAATATCCGATAATTAAAACATAAAACATTATGATAAGTATAGAGTTAAGCATTTGTATGCGAGAATGTAGGTTCTAGGTTTAATTATCATTGTGTGCATTCAAAGATTCTGGTTAGTGTTTTTTTAGCCAGTCGCTAACCCCATGCAAAGTCCTCCTCTTTGATCCAGGCTTAGAGCAGTCAGCAGCCTCAGAGGAGCTTCAGGCGGATTCCCATTGCTGATAAGACCCACAATACAAAAAAAACAGTCGTTTAGTACTCATATCTTTTCAATAGTAATCTAACATATATTGGTTTGTGATCCACCTAGGGGAGTTGGAGAACCACAATTCCAAACCAATGGTGTACATGAGCTTCAGTATCTTGAAGGAACAAATGGCGTATGAACCAAATGTGCGTCACCGGCTACCAAGGGACTGCTTCTCCTTATGTTGCCCACTGCCTTATGCATTAGACCTGTAGGTCAAAGAATACCGATGTGGTCCTCTAAGAAAACCACCTTCTTCGATCTGAGCATCCAGGTAGTATTCTAGCCCTAACACAAGTCGAATGATTTCAATGAAAATAAAATTGTTAGTGTCGAGTTAACTAATACTTAATATTAACTTGAATAACCTTATAGGTTAAGTGAAATTATTAGATAAATAATCAGAATAAATATGAGTCACATAAGTTGCAAAGAAATAATAATACAATTACAAACTCTATCGAATGTTTAATGGGAAGCTATGTCGTGTATAAAGTTATCTGAATTCAATAATAAATTAGAGAATAATGTGGGTTGAATGTTAACCAAGTTAATCATGTGTTCCGGAGACTATTATTCATGTTAAATCAATAGTAATAGTAATAATAATACAAAAAATATGTGGATAACAATAACAAACAACATCTAAACCACCCACAGGTACGATGATACCAAGACTTTATGGCCCATCAAAATGATATAGAACTGGTCTATAACTTTATCCAGTCATAGATATGGCCGATTGGTCTTACATTGCAGCTGTGAATTGGTTAATTAAACATCTTAAGTCATTACACAAAGATGTCGTACAGCACAATTTAAAATATTATTTTGAACCTGATGATGGAATTCGTGATTTGAAGGTGAGCGGAAAATTCATGATGTCAATCTACTTATCCACTTTATTTACAAACGTACCTCTTATACAAAAAGTTGGTTTTATATGTAGCGACTTATGAAATCGAGGAATGGTGATTAGCAACTCATCTCCTTTCTCAACGAATCATATCCATATATGTTATGAATAGATATTATTTTTCATAAAGAATTCTATAGATAATGCGACGGTATTTTTATGGGATCACTAATCCTAACTGACTTAGTTCTGGCAAAATTAGAAAATAAACCTCTAATAGATGTGATAGCAAAACTAGAATTTTATTCTCTATATGGATGATACATCTATAGTTACAAAATACAATTGCGAAGCTTAAGGTTAACTAGAAACATTTCATAGAGTCCATCAGGCAAGCACTCTCACAATACACGAAGAAAAGTGACACACCATTTCGTCTCAACACGTTCTATTGATGAGAAGAACTGATAGGACAACAAAAAGTGTTTATCGTAAATCAACTACACAAAACCAGTAAACAAACTTTTACAGCTTTGCACCACAACAACATAAACGAAACAAAATCAAATGTTTAACTCACAGAGCGGAAATTATATGTTCTGATGACAGTCTTGAAAAAGGAACTAAATCTTATCAATGATATGCCATGTAAGCACTGATATCAATAAAAGTTCATAACGAAACATATATCTGCAACTAAACCTTAAGTAGAATCATCGAAGGTACCCGAAATTCTACATGATTTATAGTATCACTTCACAGTTGATATAGCTAGCGAAATGGTAAATCGATGTATACAAAATATCTCAGAACATACATTTAATACGAAAAGATTATGTTCTACATTTTTCAGCCGACCAATGGTGACTTTAAGAAATAAGGATAAATCGACTATTGTTTCTGTTTCTATGGGTATTTATCATCTCAACTGTTTCTACGGACCTAGTCATATTGGACGCACAACTAGACAAATGCATCATCGTATTTCTGAACATCACTATTTATGAATAAGCAAAGATAAAAGCAGGTAAAAGAAGCTCAATCATGACGTACCTAGTCGGTAGTAATCATCACGTAGATAACACTTCAGCATTTAAATTCTCACAGAATTGACCTTACGGTTTCAGAACCTCACTATTACTATAAAACAGAAACTGTGAAAAAACAAATCAAAAAACCTAACCTCTATATACAACTTTTATACAGAGTCTGAGACGTGTAAGCTAGTAATTATTTATATTGTCAAGTTAAATCACCACCATCTAATCGCTATCAAATTTCTACTCATTCGTAAAGCAGCATATACTGGTATAGAGCCCTGATAAAGATCTAATTGAAAAAAATAGTTTTTCAGTCAACTTGTCTTGCTAAAAGTGACAAAGACAAGAATATTTAACTAATTAAGGTTTTATGTACATCAGTGGAATTAGGTGATTCAATAATTAAGATTATTACTGATTTATTAGCCCTGAGGTTGGTCACGGTAAAAGAGGAGTTTTAGAATATTATTTTTGCTCACATAGCTCCAGTTTTCTAATTCGACTAACTTTTGATTCTGCCGTTTTTGAAGGACTTTGAGGAAGATTATCCATGGCAAAAAATTACTTATTTAATAAATTATTGAGAAAGATTGGTTTATACTAACTCTGTCATTAATTTGAACTGAGTGGGCTAGTATTGAGTTATTCATTGTTTTGACTACATCTTTGCTTAGTAAAGCTAGAGAGTGTTCATGAGCACATTTCCAACTAGTTTTTTTTAACTTGGCCATCGAACAAAAGACATGAGACAATACTAAGACCACTCACTTGAGTTATAAATCCTTATTATCTTAAACAATCTTAGGTCTTGGGTTCGAATCTTGCGGTTCGGATCGTGGATGCGTACCACTGAGAAAAAAAGGGCCATTCTGTGCTTCTAGGTTTTTCATGGTAGTCTAGGTTCAATTGACTTATGAATTCAACCGTAACACTACTTTTAGTATAGTGTACATATCAGTAATTTAAAAAAAACTTAAAATATACGTACATGATAATGCAGTAATATATTGAGTTGTTCTTCAAAGTAATTCAATAGAGGTTTATCCGAGTATCATGTAGAGTATTTATACAATAATGATCTAACAATTACTCTTTATCATATTCATACAGAAATATTGAAAATGAACTAACATTGACTAGTGTATCATGTTTAAAAAACACTATAACACAATTGGCGGATGTATACAGATATAAAACAACAAAGATAATTATCCTCTAAGTTTTGGGTCATAACTTATTTATCGTTGAAATCAATGAAGCTTTAATGCTAAAGAAAATTTTAGGTAGGACTATAAATTATGAACGATCTTTGAGAGACACTAAAGTGACCTTGACAGTATTCACCTGACAACTAAGACCAAATGAAGGTTATAAATTAGTGTGAGGAATTCGAATTATGATTTAGAGTTCATGGTTAAGGATTAATAATTCGATTTCTGGATTATCATCACAAACTGACATCAGTTCAAATGCCCAAAACTCTATTTACAGATTGAAATCATAAATCAATTGAAGCTAGACCACTATGGAAAACCTGGAAGCACTGAACGGCCGTTTCATCCTATTGTGGGACTCCTCAGCAGTGCGCATCCACGATTCCGCAACCCGCGGGATTCGAACTTGATTCGAACTCCATTTAGCCAAGTGGATGAGTGAATTTCGTGCTCAAACTCCGAGACCTGTTATCTTGTACCCGATTGGTTCATTCATAAATGATAGTCTTGCTAAAAAAAACTTTTCTTTATTATTATTATTCACTTACTTAATAATTTATCATCAATTGAATTCTGATTATTTTGTATAGATGCTGGAAAGCTATGAGTATTTTGATGGGATGTTAATAGATTTGATGAATTTAGTTCAATGTTATTGATTGTTTTGTTTATATATAAATCTCTTTTAGATTCATAACTATTATTAATATCATTATTATTATTATTATCTATATCAAACATTAAATTTGACTGATCTGGATCAAAATCATAATGATTAGAAGATTTAAAAGATTCATTAAGATCATGATGATTTAAATCTGTACAAATAGTTAATGGTGATCTAAAATGAATTTGATCCTTTTTATTGTGAATTAATGAATTACTATAATGATAATTCTTTGTAAATTGATTCAATGATATCGGTAAAGAATAAGATATAAATGAATGATCATATAAAGAAGATGAAATGTATGTCCTCGGATTAGTGTAATTCAATGATGTAGTTGAATGAATATTATTACTCTTATCATTCATACTACACATGATCAAATCATGATTAGAAGAATTGAAAAACTTATCTTCATATTGATGATCAATATGTATAACTTTGTTAACATTAGATAAACTATAACGATCACCATTACTATAGATACCATTATTATTATTATTATTATTATTATTATTATTATTATTATTATTATTATTATTATTGCGTATAAAATAATCATTTACTAGCCAAATAATTGCTAATTCACTAACTGATTGTAATGATTTTTCTATAGTGATTGATGGATACTTAGAAGTGAATTGACGATTGATAATTGGTAAAAAGACCTGTACAAAATAAATTCAATAAAAAAATCAATAAAAAATATCCTTATAGATTTGTGTAATGGTCATTTCTGCCTAACGTTTCATTCAAATATGCATATAAAACAAGCCACTTCATTATGTGCAGAGATGGATGGTGTATAGTAGTAGAATATAGGACGTGCATTTCATCCCATCTGGCACCTGTCAACTGGATATACCTATATTCCATAGTTGATATTCATAATGGAACTCGAATCCAGTACATCCAACTGACGAGTCTCAAGTAGGATGAAATGCGAGTCAAACTGCATTTCACTACTAGACAGCATCCATCCTTGCTTATAATGTTTATGAATTAAAGCAATATTGAACCGATTTGCATAGGAAGAGCATATTCCAATAAAGGTTAATCAATTACAGTCCTAAACATCAATGGGAACATTCAAATCACCAATACAAAATGAATTAATGCCAATTCATTATTTCGTTTATTGATTTTCTAATTATTGTATGTCTTTACATATCTTTCATAACATCACACCACTATTTTCCGTCATAATAAAGGCATTACTCCAACTTTCGATTCACTAAAATGCATTAATAAGCTTCCAAAAATTATTGATTATAGTCGATTCTGAAATCAGAATCAACGTTCGTTTCATCATGAATTATTGCTTCAACATTGTAAACGGAGAGTGAATAGCTTCACTTTCACCAAACCTATGATGTGGTTGATTGTTTTCTTTGTTTTTTCTTATCTTCCAATTTATTTGGTTCATCTTCATGAATTTCTACATGTAAATGTCTAGGTAAGTCAAAAGTGAAGTTCGGTTCTTGTTCAAAATGCTGCCTGCTAAGATATCTCAGAGCTCTAATAAACGTTGTCTTCTCACTGCATTATTTGAATAGAATAACTTAACTAACGGTTGGAATAATCTATCATATTCTTTTTATTTTGACGTTAATTCATTACAGTGATTGATGTCAGCAGGAAAAATTATCGAAAACTGGAGGTATTGTTTCCACACAGTATTTCACAGGGATTGAACCCAAGATCTTCAAGTTTCACTGATACCACAATTTCAAAATACCATATAGTTGGAATCTAGTAGTACATACACTTCACACTTATGCAACCATCATTCATGTAAAAAGGTTGTAGTGAACGAGAACACAAGTAAGGACAATCGAATGTATTTGAATACGAAATTACAAAATATCTTAGTAAAATCTGAGAACCATGCAGTAAATACTTCATTTGCAAAACGTAAATCAATTGTCTCAAACTTTATTTCACTGATTGAAATCTCCACAAAACCCTTTCTGATATCAAACTCTATTGTTCTTTCGTTTCCACAGCAGTCATTCTTTGTTCACGTCATCTTTCTTTCGATCTTCATAACCTTTTGTCTCCAGGTATTTCACTTTTGATTGATAATACCTACTACCCCGTCTGGAGTCCCTCCGGGGGCTACTGCCGGTCCCAAGCCCGGATAAAGGAGGAGGGTTGGGCATGGGGTTAGCGTCCCCATCCCGTAGAAAACTAACTCGCTAAAAAACGTTAACCAGAAAAAAATATTCAAACCTTTTAAACTCTGCCCTGGGAGTCAGAAGGTCTTCATTTAGAAGAACTATGACACCTCATGATGAAAGCTGAATTCCTTCGGAAGTTACGAGGCCGATGCCCCTTCTGACAACCAGAGCGACGATTTATTTAGTAAACTACATACATCGGATATGATGGAAAGAAAAATCAATTTTCGATTGAATTACTCATTATGAGTTTTATTCAACATTCAACATCCGTTTTGATTCAACGTGAGGAACATTCAGTGTAGTATTTAATTTGTTTTTCCAGTATGATATTTTCTTCTGTATAATATACGATATTCTTATATTCAGTTGACATGACGTATGCTCAGTAAGTGATTTGTTATAACTGAGTATGTGATTTAATCCTAATTATTAATCAAAATGGGTGTAGAATCAATATATAAATGAGTGTATTTTCGATTAGGGTCGTCGTCATTGTCATCATATTTTGGGGCCAATAAATCTTCACTTATACCAGTCTTTGTGCTCTTACTTTCGCATCGTGGGAATCGCAGAGTTCCCTCGTTCCATCACAGCAGTCAGCGACGATCAAATATAACAATATCTGTTGATATCAGTAGCATACGCTACAAGCTACCTTCAATGAAATGAGTATTATCCACATATCTTTAATCATAATTTTTATCAAAAAACGTATTTGATATAATCTAACTTAGAAAACTATCAAATACATAGAACACACATATTGAATTACATAATTACTTACTTGTCCAATGTATAAATTCATTCTTTTTCCATAGATTTGATCAATACAACTTTGTGTCAAGATAGTAAAGTTTGGCAAACCAAGTCCATTTTTGATACAAATATCTATTAATAACTTGATAAACATTTGTATTAAATAAAATTTTTTATTCATTATTATTATGATTATATGATAAAGAATAATAATAGTTGAAATTTCATTAGTTGAAATCATGAGTCAATTGAAGCTAGATCATCAAGGAAAACTTGGAAGCACTGGACGGCCGTCTCATCCTAGTACGGGACTCCTCAGCAGTGAGCATCCACGATCCCGCCCCCCCCGCGAGGATCGAACCCAGTACCTATCAGTCTCGCGCCAGGCGCTTAACCAACTAGACCACTGAGCTGTCGGCATCCGACAGTGTTAATGTCTAACTTCAACCAATCCATGAAGTTGCGTCACCGTACACCATTATCTTCAGTGAATTCCTATCTCACAACAGACCTGGTTGAACTCCCATACTAGAATGAAACGGCCGTCCAGTGCTCCCAGGTTTTCCATGGTGGTCTAGCTTCAATTGATTCATGATTTCAACCAGTGAAATTTCTAAAAATCTCCACAAAACACATTCTGATAATAATAGTAGAAATATCAAATAAAAATTATCATCAAAGGAATTCAGTAGACAATTCTAGGAGACATAGACGGATAGTGGCTTGTAATATAGTTCAGTTTGACGTGCATTTCGTCATTGTTGGGAATCGTCAACTGGATGTACCTACATCCCAGAGTTGATATTCACTCGGGAATACGGACACGGTAATATGCACACTATGCACATATGCCAATAAAAGGCTGATCATTTGCAGTTGTAAATAGCAATGAGAAGATTCAAGTAAACAATATCAAGTGAATTCTAGGAGATTTCTAAACAGCTTAATTTTCAACAATGAAAATATTTCTGTATATTAACTATATAATGTATTGGTGCAATTTAATGGAAAAGAATTATAATCTACAACAAAACTACCATGGTTATTCGATTATCTTCTTTCTTGATTGTTGTAGAACTATATCACAACTCATACATCAAACATACATAGTGCAGAATAGAAATCTGTTGTTATACAGACGTATAATTGGTCGAAGACATGTATTATCACAGATTATTCATGCAGAAAACTATTCTACACATTTTTTTTTGGAGATTTACAAATTGAATTGACATAAGATAAAAACTAGTTTCGAAATTATTATGAATAGGCAGTTTTTTCTGCTTACAATTTTCGATGCAGTGTCCTTTATAGTCTTCCTCTTTTCTGTTTTCTTCCAGGATTCCTAGTTAACGCTTGCCTCGTTTTTAAGTTTGATGATTTTTCAAATGTATGTCATAAGCACTTCAAATGTCTTTTCCTAATTTTCTCCTGAGCTAAAAACTGGTGTCTTCTCTCCCACAATAGAATGTCGCTTATGTTATCCGGTCAAAGAACATTCAGTATATTGTATAGACAATTGTTTATAAATACTTGTACATCATTGATGATGGGTGTAGTAGTTCTGGAATTTTCAACGCCACACAGTAGAACTGTTTTAATGTTCGTATTAAAGATTGTGACTTTGATATTTGTTGTCAGTTGCTTTGAGGCCCATATGTTGTTCAACTGTACGAAAGCGGTTATTGCTTTGCCAGTCCTCATCTTTAGGTTAATCGATGATGATACTACGGGCTGGGGGTCGTGGACGTTTACACCTGTTCCAGAGTTTCTCCATCAAGTGTGATTGCGTTGTTAATTTCCATGTCCTATTTGAGGATCTTGGTTTCTCCCTTGTGCATGTTGAGGCCTACTGATGTAGAAGCTGCTGCTATACTGTTTGTTTTCTTCTGTAATTGTTTTTGTGTTGTATGGGATTGGATTGCCATGCTATCTCCTCTAGTGGCATTCAACCCGTTCATTGTATCCCATGCTTCCCCTCAGATGTCGAGGTCTTCATAATACAGTCAACTAACAGAAGAAAGAGAAAGATTGATAGCAAGCAAACTTGTCTGACTCCGGTCCCCACCTGGAATGCGTCTGTCATCTGTCGTCCATAAATGCCTTTGCAGTATTGTCGTATGATTTACGTGGGACGTTGACGATTTTCCCAGGTACTCCATAGCGTCGAAGACATTTCCATAATTTTCTCTTATCCACACTGTCAAATGGTTTCTCATAGTCAAAGAAGGTGATGCATAGTGACGAGTTCCATTCAATTGATTGTTCAACGATAATTTTGAATAATAAGGCAAGTTCACGTTTTCTTTAACTCAATGAAACACTTGATGAAATTAATTTTATTCTTAAAGTGACATTTTGAAGTTGGTTTTATTTTCAGTACATTTTATTCAGTACAATATTGGTCTTATATTTTTTAGTGTAATATTATTACTGATTAATATATTTGTACCTGAAGGGTAACGGAAAAGAGGAAGACCAAAGAGCACATTACGTCCAAAATTGAAAGCAGAGATGAAAAGGGATTCAAAAGAACTGAAAATGATTGCTCAAGATAGAGTTGCATGGAGAATGCTGATGAGCGGTTTATGCTGCTCCACGAGGAATAACAGGCATTAGTAAGTACGTAATGAAGTAATAAAGAGTGGATTTTATTCAGTTTGGCAAATGCATATCTTTAGAAATCCTCAAATTTACAGTATTTAACTTACTTTATTAGCATTTTTTATCTGCTGACCATCTATACTGGAATGGTCAATATTCAATCGGTTAACACTTTCAGTATTTAAAACGAACGAACAATCGTTTGAATTCTTTTGATTTGAAAGTAGTGAAGCATTTGTATCAAAAGAACTAAAAATAAAGATGTAAATAACAGATATAATGAGAGAACATTGTATTTCGTTTATATCATGAGTAAACAATAGCTAGGCGAGAGGTATTAGATAGCTATTGCATCTTATGTGTTAGCATACAACAGTTTACATCCAAAACCTCACCAAGGACCTTACTCTGTTGAATAAGTGTTCAGTAATTCGGATTGTTAAAGCTACTATCAAACTGAGATGTTTTGCAATCATGATTCTTTGCTCTTAATAATACTAAGCTTATAACAGAAATTGACGTATTGAAAAGACGACGACTTTGAATAGTTGAATAAAAAGATGAGGATTATGAGAACTATATGATATATTCTGCCAATACATTCCAAACAATCTAATTACACATATAGTTGTTATGAATATTTATATACAAAAATAAATAGTCATATAGACAAATGGAGGATGAGAGGAAACAAAGACAATAAACCAAATCATCAGAAAAACAATATGATACTCATCATACATATTGAAATTGATAAACACACTGGAATGTGACCTAATCGCCTTCATGTCTTTTAAGTTTTCGGTGAAGTAAGTACCTTGTTTTCCCCGTGATAATTACTTTTCTGAATAGTTCGTTTTGTTACCAACTGATTTAAACCTATGTTTCGAAAGAAGGCTATTTGACCCACCTCTGAAATGTAGGGTGATATAGACAGCCTTTTTCTTTGCCGAAGATGTATGATACCCATTTTCCATTTATGTTTTGTTCAATAACATTACTTGGTCATCATTAGCATCATTTATACAAATACGATCAAACACGAATTTACTGAACTGAGCAATAACTATGATGATTAAGGTACTGGCCTGTCTGAGTTGACTTTCTAACAATGGATCATTTGACTGAACCATCTTCTCTTCTATTTATATATTTATCTGAGCGAATAAGCTGGTTATTCTCCTTCTCTTCACATGAAAACTGTTAGGATTTTGAACTGTGTTAAGTTTATTCAGTGGACAATGAATATCATCTTATCTTTCAGAGATAACTAATATGTCATTCACTTATCTCTTATAAAAGAACATATTTTTGAATAGTTCTTCAGCTAGATTTTCAACATGTGCCGTAAACACATCAGTTAATAATGGTCTTAACGAACTAGTCATAACAACAAAAACGTCGATTTAGAGGAAGTATTCACCTTCCAATGTGAACTGGACTATGTCGATTTACATGCTAGTAGAATATTTCAAAAAACAAACTTTGTTGAATAATGGGAAATAGTTCTGCTCTATGACAACTTCACATCTAAGTTCTCTACATCTCAAATTCAAATTGAAACCAAGTATAAGGAACTATTTATCAATGTAGTAGTACACTGTCAACTTATTTACAAAACCAAAAACGTAAATAATTTATTAATAATGAAAATGTATTTTCTCTTTGGAACCTTAAAATTTCTGCATAGAAATGATTATTATCAAAAAGATGATTTGTGTAGATGGTGGTAATTTTAACAGTTGAATAAATGAGTTGATCTCAATTAGAATAACATTGAAAATCTGGAAGCAGTGAAAGGCTGTTTCGTCCCATCATGAGACTCCGCAACAGTCAGTATTCACGATCATACACATGGGATTTCAGTTCAAGACCTACGGTTTCTCGTGTGAACGTTTAACATCTAGACCATTGAGCTACTTTCCAACAATAGTAATGTCTAACTTCAATTGATTTATGATCATGTGCAACCCTTTGTTGATTGTCTGAGGTTGATAACTTTCTGAACTCCATACAAATTGAACTCTACTGATCATGATCATATAATACTTCCACGTATTCAATGGTATTCTGACTTAGTTTAACGTAAGAATTCAACTTTAAAAATATTACCATCTCTCACAAATTCCATCATGGATAATCATGTAATTACCTAATTTCTTTCTTTGAATTTAATATATTACATTTTTTCAACATTATTTGATTCAATGGATCTTGTTTTAATTGTTTATATTCTGTATTCAATATTGAATCATTTACAATTTTATTGTTTTCAATGTTCATTTTCGAAATTGTATGACATAATTCATTTAAATAAATTTGATTCAATGTTAATGATGGTTTGTGATTGATTGATTTATTGATTAAATTATTATTGATTAAATTATTATTATTATTATTATTATTATTATTATTATTATTATTATTATTATTATTATTGTTATTATTACTGTTATCATGATGAGAATGTTTCATTGTAGACAATGTATTCATTGAGTTAACAATGGACATCATAGATGATGATGATGATGGTAATGATGAAGAAATGGTATAATTGGATAATAATGAATTAGGATTCATAGTATGATTAAATAATGGATTAGATTGAGTTTGATGTTTATATAGAGTGGTTTGTGTGAACACATTTGGAGTATAATATGAACTAGATGTTATGATTGACTGATTAATTATTGATGTAAAAGGATATAAGTTAGAATGATGTAATTGTTGTAAAGGTATATTATTTGTTAATGCATTCGAATAGTATAGTTCTGATGAAGTTGACGGTATGATGAATGTATTAGATGAACCGACTAATGACAAAGATGATAATGATGATGATGTTGAGAACAATGATAAGGCTTGTTTTTGAGTATATTCTGATAAACTTATATTATTATAATTAATACTACTGTTATTATGATTAGTATAGTTTGAATTGATTGTTAAAATTGATTGAGAATGATGACTTGTTCTTAAATTATCATTTTTATTGACAGGTTTTGCCCATGACACTTCAATTTGTGCTCCATCAAGTAAAGTACCTATTTATAAACGAGTAAATATGTTGTTTCTTTTAATTGTCTATTGATAATAATAATAATAGTAGCATAAGTATGAAAACATGTAATACATGATCCGATGAATGTAGTATCCATGGCGATAATACAATTTATGGACGAACCAAACAGGTAAGATAATAGGTCTTGGATTTTGAGCGCGAAATTCACTCATCCATTTGGTTACATAAAGTTTCGCCATTTTAACTAATGTCAGTTCGTGATGAAAATCCCAAAATCTAATTCCTAACCCTTAATCATAAACCGCAAATCACAATTTGAATTCCTCACATTAATTTATAACCCACATTTGGTTATAGTTATGAGGTGGGCACTCTCAAGGTCACTTTAGCGTCGCTGAAAGGCTGTCCATAAATTATAGATTCAGATAATTTAATACTTGAATTCATTCGTTAATTAAAGCTAGAGCATCATGAAAAACTTGGAGGCAATGGACGGGCCATTTCGTTCAAGTATCGGACTCTTAAGCAGTCTAGCTTCAATTGACTAATGAACTGAAGAATTGAATGACTTAATATCCACAAAAACCCCTTTCTCACAAGATTTACATAATTAAAATTAATTTCAAACTATTCAACTACAATATTAATACAAGTCATTTGCTGTAGATCATCCATTTTTATTTGTTTCTTAAACATATGAGAGTCTTTAGGTTTACATAATTTAACTGATATAGAAGATAAAAGCCTAAGATAAAGTTCAAGAATCAAATCTTAGTTTCAGTGCTATGTAATTATAGATATTTAGTTGTCAGCCAAACTTGACCGAAATTTTGTAACAGCTAGGACTTATCAGGAGATTGTGATTTAATATTTAAGGAATCTGATTGTAACGTGAAATTATTTGATAAGAACAGTGGAAACAAGAAGCCCTGACAAACTACGAAGGCTATTTTTCGGGATGTTATTTCATTTTATTCAAAGCTTGTAAAACATTAACATTCATTTTTGTCCCTAATTTATTTTACAGAACATAAGATTTCGTTCGATGTATGATTCATTGCCATACCCCTTTTTGTTCGAAGCTATTGTAATTTAAACATAATATTTTGCACCCTATTTTCTACCCTAATTCCCAGCTTTGGACATAATTGTATCATACTTTATGGTCGGGTTATTCACTTATTTATTCATGTACCTTTTTACACTAATCCGAACTGAACTGCAATCAGGAAATCAAGGTATTGTGAGTAGATCGAGTAGTGTTCCAGTTGTCTTGTCTTCTCTCATTCGTGTGCTTGTCAACCAATCAGGTGATAGGATATTTTTCTTCCCTCCACTCCACTTCGAACTCACACGTACTAGCCACAAGGTTAGGTCGGTCAGCCTATCGTACCAAGGTCTTGATCTGGATTAGATAAGTATCCTCAGCATCAAAAGTGAGTAAACAGACCAAAAGGACATAAAAGTATTCTATGAATATACATAATGTTTAGATATTTGATATCATTCGTAAGAAAGTATTTTTATGACGTTGTATTCTCTTTTACATGAAGTGGATGGTATCTCACAGAATGACTTTTATGATTTTATAATCAAACCTTTTCAATTCACTTAAGATATCTGCCTATGTAACACTGAACTCGACTCGGTGAGATTATAATTCATAAATGGAGGCTATGTGATACAAAAGTGGCTTTAAGTGAGTTCAAACACTAACTAGGGTAGAAATAAGGTTACGAATTAATGTGAGGATTTTAGATTCGAAGTTAGGGTTAGGTATTGGAATTAGGGTTTTCATCACGAATTGACATCAGCTAACATATCAAATTGGTATTTAGCTATGTAAACAAATAAATAGTTAGCTAAAATCTTCATGTTTTAATCTTTAGTTTGATTGGTTTGTCCATAAACTATAATTTGTCGTTAAAGCTTATCTGCCAATAAATTTGCAATCAAAATAACCTAACTTAAAAATTAACTAGACCTGGTAATAACTAGTGCTTTGAAAGTAGTTGAACAGAATATCTTGAACGCGGGGTTGGCACCCCATCCTGTTGAAAACAACTTTACTAAATAAGAGCGTTAACCACAGTAAATAAGTTAAACCATTTGTAATCTGCCCTCTGGGTTGAAGGGACAATTACGACGTCTCGTGATGGAACCTGATGCCCCTTTCTAACAACCAGAGGAACAATTTTCATAGGTACATGGAACGCCCGGACAGTACGGGAGACTAGGAGGATCAATAAAATATTAACGGAAATGAGGAGATAAAACTTGGTGGTTTTTACGGAATCAGACAAACCCATTGAACCCAAGCTGGAGAGAAGAGGCTAGATACCGGAGAGATGATGCTGTACTCCAGTCATGAAGAGGGAAATGTCAAAAGAAGCATGTAATTCACTTATAGGATGGGAATCACACGGATATAGGGTCATCGTAGAGATGTTTCAGCTCTCATTTTACAATGGCAGTGATACTGAATTGTGTAAACATAGTAGATTAATTGTTGGTACATTCTTTTATGCTTCTAATGTTTTAATTATTTATTTAGTAACCATCACTTTCACATTTTTTTCTCGCGTCACTCAAACTCGTTAAGTAAACAATCATCTACCATTCAAGTAATTTGATTTCATTTCCTTTCGATTCTCAACCATTACGTAACTTTATTGTGACATTTGAAAACATGTAATATTCGGTCTGTATTTCTACAAACTACTTTATTCCTTGATTTATTATAAATACAATTGAACAGGTTGAGTAATTGATGTATCTGAAAGCGTAATATCTTTCATTGACTCGTCTTTAATTGCGATCGAGGAAAAAGCCAATAAAGTCTTTGACTTTATCAACAAATATTGGGTGACAAATATGTTTCCAAGGTTTATGTGTAAACTCATGCTTACTTAGTTTGTTACAATTAATAGCCATCAACATTTTCTGACCATCATTGTGTGTAGTGTCTGAGATATGACACTGACTCACCATATAATGCTTTCAGGTACCCCCAAATGACTACTGAGAGAGAAGATAAAGTTTAGGAAAAAAGCCTATATATATATATGAACTTGGATTTTTATATATGGATTTAAGCCCCTTGGAAAATCGATCACTCTAAGGATTTCATGGGAAAAATATGGGCAACAGGTGTTTTAAATGGTGGAAAACCTCATATCCTTCAAGGTAGAACTTTGAAGTACTGTTACATATCAATATTGAGTTCTACGCTATATATGACAGTAGATAGTTTGTTAGGCTTTATCTTTTCACTAAAAGTTGTATTTCTGGTTTGTAGCTGTGTAGCAACTACAAAGTTTGTTAACTTTATGAAATATACATAACTAAACCATTCCCTTCATTTCATACGGTGACATGAGGTTGAACTGTTTCATTATCTAAGATGATGATTTCACTGGATTTATTTTGTATTTCTATTCTTTCAGTATCCTTGTTTCTGTATACTCATTCATGTCAACATACAAAATTCTCTAAAAAATTGTTCCAAACTCTATTAGGGCAGTTATAAAATTGTAGTGAGGCATAATTTTATGTTTGTATATTTCCTATAATAAGAAGATATATTCTGTTCAGATGAATAACATCATGCATTATTGAATTATCATTACACATGAATAAACAGCTGATCGTTTCACTTTGGAAAAGATAAGCTCCATATTTGCGCATATTGTGAACACTGAGCATTTGATCAAAATAGACTCAGTGTTCGAAGTTATCTCTATAGGATAGATGGAAACTTATCAATGATGGTGAGTGAGCACTATTAAAGCCTTTAATATAGATTTAGAAAAGCTATGACATTGTATACCAAAGATATTTGATTACCATCGCCTTAAAATCTAGTTCTCCAATTCAGTTGCCCATGTTTTTGTTATCATTCTCTATCGACATTTTGCCCTCAACTGATATAGTATGTCACCATACCCTCTGAGATCACATCCTATTCTAATTTATTTTACTATGTAATGTAACAAGTATTGCACTTAATCTATTCTCCATGACAATCTGCACAAATATTCATCGTCATAAAAAGCAAATCTTCATTTTCGTATTTTCGAGATCAGTATTTATGAAGTTGTTTTATCGTTTTCAGTAAATGATTACTGTTATCAAAGATAATATCATCACTAAGAGGAATAGTGTATACTTACAGTTTTACAGCGTTGAGAATGATTCCTCCATAAAGAGAAATACTTGTATGATTCAGTTGTCCTTATTTTAAAAAAGAATTTTCGAATGTATGGACTATTAACAAAATCTTGACAATGATGCGGATGAGAAGTTAGTCATTAACAAGTTCAGTCACTTGATCTCTTATTCCAAAGTATAAAGTGAGCAATATTTTATGAGTACCATACTGGCTTATCACTAGGTATTAACATATGTCATATTCATATAGTTGTTAATGCTGATTTTATTCTGTTGACAAAGTTGCAACGTAATCCTTAAAACAAAGTTCACGAAAAGTCAACCTGCAGTGCAACTTGATCAACGGAAATCAATCAAAACTAAGAACTAGACTAACATGATGTTCTTGAATCTCACCCATCAATCAATGTGAATACATTGGTCGATCACAACCTGAATACTTGAATAGTAACGCCTCTAAGATACTGGATAAGGCTAGTTCAGAATCCTGAGCACTAGTCCTCCGAATGATTTATTTACGTCATAATGATCATAGCTAGATAATAAGAAATGCTTCCTACCAATTAGAAGTATTATCTAAAGTGAGTATTATAATATTACACATACGATCCAGATGGCTTAAATGTATCAAGTGAATTTGATGGCTCTCTTATCTAATCTAATAGCTGATAACGACCATAATTCTTTAACTTATCAGTAAATAATAACATTAATAAACATTATCTCAAGAGGTTTAAAAATCTATCTTTGTCAGAAGCTGTTTTGTGGAGATTTTTAGAATTTCACTGGTTGAAATCATGAGCCAATTGAACCTAGACTACCATGGAAAACCTGGAAGCACTGGATGGCCATTTTGTCCTAGTATGGCACTCCTCATCAGAGTGCATCTACGTTCCCCTCCTACGAAATTTGAAGTTAGACATTAACACCGTTGGATGCCGGCTCAACGGTCTAGTGATTAGGTGCTCGTGCGTGAGACTGAAGGTCCTGGGTTCGAGTCGCGCGAAAGGATCGTAGATGCGCGCTGCTGAGGAGTCCCATACCAGGATGCAACGGCCGTCCAGTGCTTCCAGGTTCTCCATGGTAGTCTAGCTTCAACTGACTCATGATTCAACCAGTGCTATTTCGTTGATTGTTTGTAGATGCTCAAAATATTAAGAACCAGCTAGATATTTGAGTGGAAAGTCATTCGAATAGAAAATATCTTACTTATTAACTATACCTAAATGTGACTAGACATTTCTATCAAAAATTGGTATTCACTAATAATTTGTGTGATTCATTCAATTGTGTTTAAACTACTTTAAATCACTGACAGTACTACAGTTTGTTTAAACAAATAACAAGAAGAAATGAGTCGTATAAACCATACACAAACAAACTATTCGTAAACCTAAACATCGAATACGATTTTGCATGATAAGCATATATCATGAATATAATTTGGCATTCGTTTAAATCTTTTGGATTATAAGTAATGGTCAAATTATTAATATGTGTTTTTTCTACTATGGAATACGTCAACTGAATGTACTTGTATCTTTACGTTGATAGTGACATCAATACTGGAATCCAGGAAGTTCAACTTCAAGTGCCGATGTATCATCTAATGATATGATTGGTTCAGGTAATTAGTTATTTACTTAACGAGTATTCACAATTTAGTAATAGAATAATACAAAACTTAACGAATTAACTTTCATTATTGAAGACCAAACTGTATCATGTCATTTTATAAATACAGACTGATAGTGGAAATAATTATGTTCTGAAATACAATGCTAGTTGGAAACAAATGATTATAAATACAGTGTACATACAATACATTCTTTATATATATATTATTATAACGAGGTATCATTATAGAATAAAAGGTTTAAGAGATTTTTGGCCTTCAAGTAATGAAATAATTACAATAAGTTTTATGTTTAAATTTTCACTCTATTTGCTTCAGTTATAAGTAGTATCGGTACTTCTTAAAAGTAGTTTATTCTAAGGTTCATTTTACAAAACCTTACTTAGTATATGAGTTATAATTATATACTCTAGGTGTTAGTATTACGAGAATATATCGGTTTTATTTGTAATGATAGGAACTTGGGTCATTATGTATACATGCCAACGTCAACCAAACCATGAAGAATGCAAGTTCTCGAGAATATCATTTCACCAGTTTATGTATGTTTTGTAGATACTCTTTTGAAGTTTTCACAGATTGAAATCATGAATCCGTTGAAGCTAGACCACCATGAAAACCTGGAAGCACTGGACGGCCGTTTCGTCCTAGTACGGGACTCCTCAGCAGTGCGCATCCACGATTTCGCACCCCTACTGACTCTTTTGAAGTATTGTAAATTACATTTTGCTTTGCGTGCTTGTATATATTTCTAAAGATATATTAACATTTTAGATGATTTGCAGCTGCTTTTGAATGACAGAAAAATTCGTGTTTATGTTCTCCAATTTTAATGGATATTTAAACACTAATACATTTTCGTCATTTATGTATCTGACTGTTTGACTACCTTTATCATTTCAGTAGTATAAATGCATAATCACAAATATTCAAGTCCCTTAAATAATTTGATCTCATTGACTCACATTGAAACATAAGCGTAACTCAAATAGAATAATATGCTCTGGTAGCCGCATTATATGGAAACTTCATTTATTTTTGTGAAGTATTGGCTAATCATCCTGCTGAAAATAAATCAATCTATTTAGCTAGCTCAACTAAACCATCAGCATTTCAGGTATACACAGGTCTTCTTCATTATATCCAAAACCAGGAACTCCAGTGACAATGGACGATGATAATTCAGTAGATTAAAATTTATGTCAAACAAAATAAGTAATTTTAATTGTTTGAAAATGAGGAGAAGCATGAGGGTTATTCCCCTCCACTGATCTGCTGTGAAGATGTTGTCGTGGATGAGAGAAGTGATAACACAAGGCCACTGTTTAGTATCTGTGGGTCTTTCATGGTTGTTTAACCTAAAGGCGGTATTGGCGTGAAGCTTCAAATCATCTGTAAGTTAGTTTAAAAAATTTATAACAGTTGTTACTCAAAATATGTATTACAGATTATCTGTCTTTCAAATTTTTGTTCTCTGAAATGAATGATTCATTAGCTTTGTAGAAAACATCATTTACACAAACTATCGATAGCTGTGAGTAATTTAAACTTCCCTACCTATCTTAAGATAAATTCAAAGGGAGAGATAAATAGTCAATGTGGAAACAATCACTGAACAAGGGTCAATTATAAATAATGAAGACAATGCACAATAGAATATACTGTTACTCATATTTAGGATATTTAAAGCTTTATTCTATCAGATGTTTGTGCTGCTGATGATGCTGTCTAGAAGGAAACTGAAAGCTCCATAATTAAATCATTCAATTCAAACATAGCAACATTATCAAAGTCATTTCTTTGAGATATAAATCTTCTTTACTATGTCATAACTTACCATTTAATTGATTTAACGCTGCAACAGCATCTAATCGATCACGAAAGTGCACAAAAGCATAATCACGAATTTTTTTAACACGTTCAACAGCATTAATTGAATTAATTGCTTGATTGAAATGATCCTTTACCGCATCTTCTGTTGTATCTAACATTAAATTTCTGACGTATAGTATACGGACCTATACAAAGTGAGATCAATATATATATATATATATATATATATATATATATATATATATAGTGAAATACTATAAGTAGTATAAGTTCAATTATAAAATGTAATTACATTTCCTCAAAAGAACTCTTAATATACACCAAATACAATTAACGTTTATACAGAATTACATTTACATATATAAACTTGAAAGTTTGTGAAAATAGTGCCTGAAAAAATTCAAGTATGTACTCTCAACAAGTTCTCAACAAAGCTGTTTCAAGCTGATATTATAACTTATTTCTATTGTACTTTCGGTTGTAGAGACTAATGTATTCAAAGACAACGTTTCGTATTGTTTCGTGCACACATAACAACTTAATTTTTAGCGATTTGGATTCGCGTGGCTGCAGAGAGATGACTGTGTCAAGAGTGATTCGATAGGTGGATCCTCAGTTGTACCAGAAAATCTTGCTTTTCCCTGTGTGTGCGTTGAGAACTACTGCTGCTGAGGTTGCTGCTACACTGGTGCATGTGTGATAGAAGAGCTAGATCATCTGCGAAGTCTAGATCGTCCAGCTGCATTCTAGCTGTCCATTGTATTCCATGTTGATGTCTTCATGATCCAGTCGATCACCAGGAGAAGGAGATAGAGAAAGGGTGAGAGTAAGCAACCTTGCCTAACACCAGTATTTACCTCGAACGAGCCTGTGAGCTTTCCTTCATGCACGATTTTGCATTTTATTACTTCATAGGAATTCTGCATGATATTGAAGTGTTCTACCCACCTGTCTCGTTGTTCTTGAATGCTGATGACTACTTTGTCCTCCTTGCTTTTCACTGGTCGTTCTGGTTTACGATAATTATCAGCGAGTTTCTTTGTTGTCTCATACAATTGTCCCATGTTTCCTTCTCTTGCAGCCTCTCCTGCCGTCATTGCTAAATCTTCCACATATTTACGTTTGTCGGTTCTGATGCTCCTCTTCACCTGCTTGTTTACTTCTGTGTATTCAGCTTGTGCCTTGGCTTTCTCTGCTCTTTTTTGGCTGGTATTGATTGCTACCTTCTTGTTCCTCCTTTCTTGAATCTTATCCAGTGTATCATCAGTGATCCATTCCTTGTGGTGGTGCATCTTGTGGCCTAGAACCTCATGACATGTTGAAGTGATTGCCTCTTTTATCCCTTTGCAGTTGCTCTCCACAGTAGTTCCTTCTCCATTGAATAGATCATGAAAGGCCTGGAACTTGTTGCTGAGGACTATCTTGAATTTGTTAAGTTTGTCATTATCCCGAAGAAAAGCCGAATTAATTTTTTGTGATGTTATGCGCCTCATTGTCCAGTGCTTCTTAAGTTTCAATTTTATCTTGGCGACCAGCAATAGATGATTTAATGATATGTAAGCTCCTATCTTGATTCTCACATCCTCCATCGTCCTCCTGAACGTTTTGTTGATGCAAATATGGTCGATTTGGTTCTGCGTAGTGTAATCCGGTGAAGTCCATGTGGTTTTGTGCATGTGTTTGTGTGGGAATATAGTGTCGTATATGACCAGTTTGTTGAAAGCATATAGGTTTGCAAATCTCTCACCATTTTTGTTCATTTCTCCAGGTCCATTTCGTCCCATAATGTCTTCATATCCAGTGTTGTCCATTCCAACCTTGGCATTTGGATCTCCTATCAGAACTGTAAGGTCCTTTGTTGGGCACTTCTCGACGATTGACTGCAACCTTCATTGTAGTCGTTGGTTGGCGCACAGCATTGGATGACGTTCATTGAAACGCCCTCTTTTTTTGTTTTGATGGAAACTTTGATGACCATTGGTACATGAGATTTCCATCCTTTAAGCGAGAGTATAACAACAGCTCCTTTGAATCTAGTCTTTGTTGTCCAACTTGCGTCCAATGTGTTAGACTGATTTCAAGCACCTCCATGTTGTATCTCTTCATCTCGACAGCGATTTGGATGATTTTCAAAATCCAAATCTACGTCGGGTATATGCTATGGGTATATGTTAAAGATATTAAACCCTACTGACGATCAAAGGTTGATGTATGTAGATTCTGGTCCCCGAAGTTCATGAATGATATAACGATGATTGTTACAAAATAAGTTGATACAAGATTTGAAGAATTAGAATTATATTGAATAGTAGGTTAGTATTTTGTATGATGCATTTTTTTCTGTACAAGGAATGAAATGACATGATTGTTCAGAATGATAATAATAATATCATATTACCTGCAATTTATAGTAGTTTTTTTCTTTTATTTCTGTGAAACATTCATAATATCAATAAGCTAATTTCATTTAAGTTACAATGAGCGTTAAACTCACTTTTGACATGATATTTTCATCAACTTCACGTTCTGGTTCTGCCCAATCCACTGCAATTTGATGCCCCCATAAATGAATTCGTCCAGGTATTAATTTACGTCTAGCCATTGCAGCTGTTTTATGATTTTCATATTCAATAAATGCAAATCCTCTATTTTTTGTTTTATCTTCTATACTTGAATAAACAATAACATCTTTTACACCATCAGTTACTTTGGATATTTCTAACATTATTTCATGTTTTGTTTTTGTTTTTGGTATACCACCAATAAATAAACGACAATTATCAATACTATAACAAACACCTAACATTTTACCTTTACGTATTTCATAATAATTTAATTCATTCACAGCTCGTTTAGTATCTTCACGATTTGTATATAAACAAAAACCATAACCACGATTTAATCCATTAAAATCCATCATTAAACGAAACATATAAATTTGACCAACTAATTCAAATATTGGAACTAATTCATCTTCATAACAATCACGTGGTATTTTCCCAATAAATATTTCACAACCTTTTGGTGGTTTTGGTCCTAACCAATTTGGTGGTGGACCATAACAACGTTGACCATTCTCTTGTAATATTGGATAAGATGTTCTTTCAGTTAATGTAACTAGGGCTTCTTCATGTGACATAAACATTTTAGTATTTTGATAAGTCGTATCTTTTAAAATGGATTGAATAGATGATATACGATTTGATATGACTGTAGGTAATAATAATTTATTTCTTATTGAATCTATTGAATTCATTGAATTGATTTCAAATTTCATTGATCATTGTTATCCTTATCATCTAAACTTTAGTAGATAAAGTTTACTATTCAAGTAAAGAGGAATCATTCATTTAACAATCATGATTATAATCCAAATCTTATGATAATAATGATTGTTTGCTGAGAATTCAGCATGGAAATTTATCCGTCATGATTCAATTCATCTAAGATAATCATACTGAAATGAATAATGAAATATGAAATTGATGAAATGATACTCATAGAGTAGTTATGTTATGTTATAATTATGTCGATTATAATATAAAAATAATATCAGTTTAGGGTTTGTGGAGATTGTTAAGTTTTTGATTAAAATCATGAACTCATTGATGTTAGACCATCATTGGGTTCGAATCCTGCGAGCAGGGTTGTGGATGCGCACTGCAACTGAGGAGTTCCACAATAGGACGAAATGGCCGTCCAGTGCTTCCAGGTTTTCAATGGTGGCCGAACATCAATCGGTTTATGATCTCAATAAAAATAATAGTAAAGATAATAATAATAATATAACCAAGATGTTAAAACATGTCAGCGAGAGAATTCACGCTGTGAAAGAGCTTCCTTACAAATTAAGCGAAACATATTTGGACTATGTTAAGCTGGTGATTAATACAAGAAAAGTAACATGAAACTTAAGAGGAATCTAAACAAACAGATTCCAGAAATGAAATTCAAATCTAATCCAGGCTAATGAGAATTCTCAAACCATTGCACAAAGAAATTATTGAGCATAGTGTCAAGGATTCTTTTGAATTTGTTGATAATATGAGAAATCTGTCGTTCAATAATAAATTCATGATGTCATTGGAGATGTCCTTGTTATTCACCGACATTCCACTTCTTGAAACTGTGGATTTTAGATGAAATGAATTAACAGAGAGGTGCATAGAAACCTTAATTACCGCGTCTGTGATGCATGATTCTTAAAAGTACGATGAATGTCCACTTCCAATTCGAAAATGTCTACTATAGATAGTTGGATGGTATGATCATCGATTTACAATTAGGACCTATACTGATACACATGTTTCTTGCAAATCAGGAGAACAGGTCACTTGTGGACACAATCAGTCGTCTGACATCTTACTGTCGCTATATAGATGATACTTTCACAGTATTAAGAAAAAAGATCATGAAAATGATAGTTTACTTAATATATATTTAATAATATTCATCCATCGATTACTTTCACGTTAGCAGAAGAACAGAATGATAATACGTCGTTTCAAGATGTCCAACTAACCAGAAGAGTGGATGGGACATTAAAAAGAGGGATACATTGAAAGTCTACTGTTGACAATATACTTATTTCTATAGTGTTTTAGCAAACAGATACAAAAGAAACTTATTGAAGAACATGACTCATAGAGCCAGAATGATTTGCTCGGATGACAGCATTGTACATGAATTGATCATTATTCGTAATATGATTAACAAGAATGCATCCTCAACGAAATTTATCAATAACCATATAAAAGAGACGAAAAGAAGAACAAAGACACCTAACATTCCAAAGGAAGTGCCGTTCTTAAAATTACAATTCCTAAATGATGCTACCAAGGAAATGGTAACTCAAAAGTTAAGAAAAGCGTTACAGGCGATCAGGCAGAATACCTTTTCCTAAAAACGCATCATAGTAAGAACCAATAGTAAAGATAATTCACTAGAATTTGCCACACTCATGTACAATCACCAATTCAACTGCTCCTGTCGAGTCAGTTATATTAAACGTACAATTCTATTCGGTAGTTTATCAGCTAATAAACCACGTTAATTAATGAGGCATACAGTATAATAGAAGTGATCAACAGATCCAACTAATAAATTTACACATGTAGTATAGTAAACAAATTAGCTTTTGTTCTACCTTTAGTCAAATAGAATTACATGAATTGTCTACTTTAAGGTAATCAGATCTAATTCAGTAAAATAGCATTTTTTGAATACCAATTGAATGCAAATGAATATGCATAATGTGTAAATGATTTATTAGATCAGATCTTACTGATGTGAACAGTGGAAACAAGAAGCCCTGACAAACTACGAAGGCTATTTTTCGTAATGTTATTTCATTTTATTCAAAGCTTGTAAAACATTGACATTTATTTTTGTCTCTAATCTGTTCTACAGAACAGAAGCTTTCGTTCGATGTATGATTCATAGCCATACCCTTTTCTGTTCCGAAGCTATTGTAATTTAAACATAATATTTTGCACCCTATTTTCTACCCTAATTCCCAGCTTTGGACATGATTGTATTTTTCAAAATTATTTTACGTTGTGGTCAAGTTAGTCACTTATTTATTCATGTATCTTTTTGCACGAATATGAATTCAGGGAATTCACAGGAAATCAGAATATCGGAATAGAGTGAATAGTGTTTCATTTGTCTTGTCTTCTCTCATTACTGTGCTTGTTAGCCAATCAGGTGATAAAATAGTTTTCTTCTCTTTACTCCGCCTCCAACTCACGCATACTATCCTCAAGGTTAAACTGGCCAGCCTATTGAGTCAAAGTCTTAATCTAGAGTAGACAGATCAAGGTCATAACACTTACAAAATTATTATATTTTATGACATGAAGAAAAGAAGAATGAAGTATGTGGTAGATGCAGTCGTTGCGTATTTCTGAGAAAACTGCCATATGTATTGAATGTTGTATAATATTTAAAGACAATGGATGGAGTCAATTGTTGTCTAAATCTTCTTTTGCTTTTCGACCAAATCTTCTTAAATTTCTAATCTATGATGTATATGATCACATTGATAATGAAAAGGAAGACTGAATTTATTAGCAAAGTTCAAAATAACAGTCCGTTATTGAATGAAATAGTAGTACTTTCTGTCTGATCAAATTTATTTTTTAAATGAAGTCATTTTTGATTTGGGAATTGATGACAAACGAAGGTTATCAAGTCACATATATTTCAAACTACAAACAATGAGGGAACTATTGACAAAAATCAAATGGTTAAGATCATGAGTCAGTTGAAGCAAAACCTCCATGGAAAATCTGGAAGCACTGGACGGCTGTTTCGTCCTATTGTGGGACTCCTCAGCAGTGCGCATCCACGACCCCGCCCCCTGTGAGATTTGAACCCAGGACCTACTGGTTTCGCGCGCGAGCAGTTAACCACTAGACCACTTAACCGGCATCCAATTGAGTAATTGGAAGAAAGAGGATTGTTAATATTCAAAGTAATTATTCGAAAATCAAGACGTTGCTACGTTGCAAAATATATGAAAAAGAGAAGAGATAGAATTTTTTAACGAATGGTCAATAGAATAGTAGTTACGTAAGAATCAAGAGATGATTGTTGAGAAGTTATAAGGTTCAAAAACAATAGAAACAAAATTTAAAAAATTTTAAAAAAAAGAAGAAAAAAACCAAATGGAAGAAGTATGAAAGATAATTCTGTTGAGGTAAATCTTATACTGATGGCCAAGGCAGCGAAAGTGGTTGTACAAATCTCTTTTGAATGCAAAGGTTAGGTTGGTGAACATGGATTGCGATGGGTTCCGTAATGTGCAAAAGGCGCACTCGTAAACCATGTTGCAAATTTGATAGGATATGGTAGATAACCGTAAAAGCTTTATTCAATTCAACTTGGTGACCTACGTTAACCAAGTGAGAGAGAGAATAGAACTTTTAATCACTTTTACCTGTCCTTTGTTTAACCATGACGGATGATGTTCTGTAATACGATGACGAACTTGTCGAATTGTATGCCCTATATAACTGGCTCCACAAGATCAGTTCCATAAGTAATACCACTTACAAATTATTATGAATATACATGATATTAGTAGTTCATAATGATATATTTTCAAAAGAACGATTCATAGTAGATATGTACTTTTCTAACTTGTACTTTCAGCTCTACAATTATTTCTACTCAAATAGTAAGTTACCGTTATGTAATTGACCTTGTTTGAATGTAAATGAACAATTTGGTAACATAAGAAACTTTTTTAAGTAACATTTCACTAAGATTATGGTTTATGAATGTGTATAACCGATAGAACTTCAATGTAAAGTACTTGTCATGAATTGTTAGTAGTGAAATACTTTAAAAAGTATTCTGTAAATATAATAATAATAATAACTATTCTTACTATTAGTGGTATCATTGGTATACATATTGAAATCGAAGAATGTTTATGTTCTCTACTTAATGAAGAAGAAGAAGAATAACAAGCCTAAACATGATTGTTGGTAATAGTTTAGTTATTAAATTACTGACTTACATTACAATATTAAACAAGAAACATTGACTCTTTAATGAAAATGAAATCATATTTATAGTTTGTATATGATAACAAAAGTTGATAAGTTATCTATAATGATTCATTATGAAGCATATAAGTAAAGAGGATATATTTTGTCCAGTTCTGAAGTTAAACATTTGCTCAAAAGGCTTAAGTTTCTTTGGATTTGGCTCCTGTGTACGGGATTGTGGATGTGCATTGTTGAGGAGTTTCATATATGGACAAAACGGCTTTCAAGTGCCTTCAGGTTCTCAATGGTAGTTTTGATTAAATTGACTCGTGAATTTAACTTAGAAAATACTTGTTTGATTCAAGTAAGTATTTAGAAGTACTCAGATAAGTTAGTTTCCATACTTACAAACAAAAGATCGAAATTAATTTAATTTCTTACTATATATTTAGATTATTACATTATTTTGAGACTGAATTCAATTAGATTTCTTGAACCCTAATCTTTTGTTCGGATTGCACAAGTGATAAAAACATACATGATATATGGAATACTGTGCTGATGAGGTGTGGCAACTTGGACCGATGCATGTATGTGCCTGATCTTACGTTGTAACTGACTGAATGACTGATCGAAGAAGGAACGATTACTTATTACGATTCAGGCAAAATCTCCTTCATACATTACATAATAGGTATAAATGAATTACTGACCTAATATAAGGTTAATTTCACCGCTTAACATACTAATATCAGAAGTGGGTAAATCAATTTGACCTCATCTACAATTACCATGACAAATAGAAAATATACAGATGTAGGAAATGTTTAAATGAAGGTAGTGAGTTGATTGAAAATTCATAAAAATAGTGGAATAGTTGTCGGTAATCCATTTCAATGCA